TTGCGTTTAATTAATAACTAGTGTAGATTTATTTTGCCGCTACCACCTCCTAACAAAATTTAGTAATTCATTTTTCTCAGAAGATAGTATATATTAAGTCTGTCGTCAGGTGATACAGTCAAGCTTTGTTTTAGCTCGTTTACAGTATAGCCAAAAAGGGATTAAACATGAAATATTTCCTTTCTTCTTACAGTGATATTGCTTCTCAGTGGATACAGTTTAAATTTAGTTATATGAAATTTAAAGATTTAAGTTGATTTCTTAACCATTTATCTTTCTAATTGATCCATTTGGATAATCAATTGATTGATAAGGGTTCTACTACAAGTAAATGACATCTGTAATTACATCATTCTATAAAACGAAGTCTTAAAATAATAGGGATTAGTGATAATGTTGTGATACTAGTTGAAGATGTAAACAATTACTGAAAACAGTTTCAGTCAGTCAGTCAGCTACAACGTAGGACCAGGCATATATATGTATCGGTCCAAGTTGCCATACCTCATTAGCACAACAAGATTAACACTGGATTTATAGAAGTAGTTAATTCAATGGTGGTAGTATATAAAAGAAAGATTGCATGTAAGTATATAGTAAAGGAAGAGAGAATTAGTTCTTAGAAAGAAAGATATGAAGCGATTTTAATCTCATAGTTTAAGAGAAGAAAGAGAGTGTATACACGTACGCCATTGTGATCGATTCTGAGCCAATGTCACCCAGAGTGTCCAACTATTCGTTGAAATAGTCACGCAGTTTAAGAACTAAATTTGTAAAATATTGATTTATTGAAGGCTGAAGGAGTAAATATCATTCCTTACAGTTGTTGATGTTCACAACTGAAGATAAATAGATCTCTTGTACTCTGTGGGTTTCATCAAATGCATAACATTTATCAGTTCGTATTATAAATTTATTTGCCCCTAATTGCCCTGGTACGGCCGACAGTGGGGAGAGCCATCTCTCCCTCTCTAAATGCTCCCAAGTGGCCAAGTGCATATAACCACTGCCAAGGAAGTCCTGTTCACTGCCTTCTCGTGACGAGGGTGTTGTTCACGAAACTGAGAGGATGAAAAGCGAATGTTTGACGCCTTAACTGGGTTGGTGGATATGGAGGATCCACCTAGGGAAGTTGAAAACCCTTGATTCCAAACCAATAGTGTACATGGGCTCCAAGATCCTAAGGTAAAAAATGGCGTATGAACCAATGATGGTCACCAACTACCATGGGACTGGATTTCTTTACGTTGCTCCACTGCCTTGTGGATTAGACCTTTTGGTCAAAGGCTCGAGGTGTGGCCCTTTAAGAAAACCACCTTCTTCGGCTTTGGCACCCGGGTAGTATCCCATCCCACACAAATCGAATGCTTTATGTGGCGAAAATATTTTTGGTGCCCTCTTGTACCAATCTTTATATGTTTAAATTAATAAACCATAATATAAATTGATTTGTGAATATACATGAAATTAAAAATAATGATTTTCTAATGATACTACAATACTATTACTAAATCATACTTATTTATTATTCATACATTCTCACAGAATGAGTTCATTTTAAGTGTAAATCGCCAATCTAAACGATAACTTCAATTCTTAGAATTTTTAGAATAAGCATTGAATCGATTATCTCAAGGTTATGAAACGGACATACAGTTGTAGACACACACCCTTAAACATGTTACTAAGCTTAGGTTTTTTTCTATGCGAACAAAAGTAAAACTTTGTTATGAAATATAGCTGATTAAGGACAGAAAATATAAGGATATCCTTTAGTTTTTAACTCTAACATAGTCCTATCTTATCCCCACGTGACTAATCGATGAATGTCAGAAGAAAGACTGTGATTATTTTGTTTTTATACATAACTATAAGTGACTAAAGTAAAGATAAGCGAAAATAGTCAACAAATGATAGTGATTAACTGTACTAATAATCCATGAATTTAGAATTGTATGAAATGACACATAAACATCTACAACATAGTTCAACAGTAAGATGGTCGGTTGATGAATTCGAAGACTAAGCTTTGAACTCTGTTTATCATTTCTGTCAATACACTACTTATAACATCTACAGAAGAATGAAAACTTTTCCAACATCTCTCAGTATCCTTTGTTATTTCATTAACGGCTTGTTTATAAATATGTTGATGCGGAAGATGATTGTCTTAGATTCCAGTGTTAGTATAAGCAAATGATAAATATTTATATTTTTTGTTATATCTAATTAAGTAACAACATTATATTTCTGATGTTTCTTTTTTAAATATAAGCCACTTCTTTAGAGTCAACAAATAACAGAGATATTTATTTACTCTAAAGAAGTACCTTACATTAAGTTACAAAACGTCAGAAATACAACTTTATTACTCATTGAGATATAACGAAAAAATATATTTATTATTAACTTCCTACCCAAGGCTGGATTTATTTGAAATTATCAAGTCCAACCTTGTCATTGATATCTACAAGTAAATGATATAGATGCTGATGCTTTTCACAAATGAATTCGTAGTTAATTTCTAGTTGTAACGAAAAAAAGACTGATAAACTACATTAACATACTGATTTATTTATTTATGAGAATACTGATTCGGAAAGTTTATAAATATCACTTTCATACCAATTTATATTGTCATTTGTAACAACTTTGTCCTGAGGCTAATTTGACCAGTCAGTATAAGGGGGTTCAGTATAAAGTTATATGTATCCTGGATTCCATTAAAACAACACATTATGTAAACTATATTTTGTGAATTCACAAAATATACTACTATTTTATCATCTAATTTTTTTATGTCTGAAAGACTTTCATGAATTTGATGGAAATCTGGTTTGATGGCTGAAATCTTTCTGTTGCATCATCACGTTTATTCATATCTTATATTGCTTCACAGAGTTCATCCATAAAATCTTATATATGAATGCAATTTTACCACATGATAATAAATTCATTAAAAAGTGATTCAATTGACACATTTCATGATTCCAAGTTTGAATATCAATTATTGGTTAAAATCTGGACAAAACCACGACTGATAATAATCATCGTATGTTCACTAGTGACTGGCTTCAAGAAGTATTTCCTGGAATTCTAGTGAGAAGCAGTGACCAGTAGAGTTAAACCGGGTCTATTGTGAGATAGTAACTCACTGAAGACAAAGGTGGGCGATGGTACAATTTCGTGGATTAGTTGAAATTAGACATTAACACCGTTGGATGCCGGCCAGCTCAGTGGTTTAGAGGTTAAGCGTTATCACGCGAGACAGATAAGTCTTGGGTTCGAATCCCTCGAGGCGAGATCGTGGAAGCGCACTGCTGAGGAGTCCCATACTAAACGGCCGTGCAGTGCTTCCAGATTTTCCATGGTGGTTTAGCTTCAATTGACTCATGAATTCAACAATCATAATACTATACTATCCAGAAAACCCCTACTGATGACCTCAAGTTTAGCATTCTTATGCAAATTATTCAATATATATATATATATATATATATATATATATATATATATATATATATATATATGATCGATCGTGATCGTTTTAATGCGAATGGAACCTATTTCAATTTCGACAATATAAAAGCTGGAACGAATAACTCTTCAACACTAAACTCTAACAACGAAACACAAAAAGCAAGTGGCAGTGTGGAGTGAAACTCAGCATTTGACGAAGATAGAATCTAAGCTTAACGATTTTCTATGAACAGTGGTCGACATAACTATCAGACACAAAAATTTAGTAAATTAAATATCGTAACAACGTAACCGGTAAATGGCAGAATCGGAAAATTTATACTCCTGGTTATCGATACAAGAAATAACCATTGTTAATTAATAGCACTAAGTAATCGAAGATCATTTTAGAAATGTAATATCTGTGTCGTGATGGAATCACCTTTATAAATTTTTCTAATATCCTGGCATTTTTACAGAAATACTTTATTAGCTTAAACTAATTGTACATAATGACTTCATTTAATTAATCAATACTCCATCATTTAGGATGCTATTTTCAATGGTTTATTCCAGTGAAAAAGGTATACCTCTGTGATCGAACAATATTTATGTTGAAATGTATTCAAATGTAAATTCTGCGAGTTCATTTAATGAAATAATTATATCCTAACATTACAATAAATAATCTGAAATAGAATTTTAAGTGTATGAATATGATAACTGTAGATAAATAATTAAATCATTTTTTGATCTTATGTAATTAAAAAATTAAGATAATATTTTAGAGATCCAAATAATTTATGATAAAACTAATGCATCATTATAAAGATTTAATAATTGAATTCATGAGTCAATTGAAGCTAAACCACCATGGAAAATCTGGAAGCACTGCACGGCCGTTTAGTATGGGACTCCTCAGCAGTGCGCTTCCACGATCTCGCCTTGGGGGATTCGAACCCAAGACTTATCTGTCTCGCGTGATAACGCTTAACCTCTAAACCACTGAGTTGACCAGTATCCAAGGGTGTTAATGTTTAACTTCAACTAATTCACGAAATTGTACCATCGTTCACTATTCTCTAATCATTAGAAAGATGTTTCACTTCTATAGATAAACTTTATTAACGATTATTAACTAACACAAAATCTGTAATGAAGTAATTCTACTACATATCTCAAAAATACTTAAATTTCTATCTGTTCTTTAAAACAGTTTCAGCGTGTTTATTAAATACCTAAAGAAAAGTAGAAATAAATTATGATTTTATTAAATTTATTAACAATTTGAATAGTAACTAATAAATTTATTTGAGGAAAAATAAAAGAAATTTTTTGTTTCTTCATTTCTGTTTTCGAAATAAAAATGTACTTCCTCTATCAGATAGGTCCTAATTCTGACCAGACAAATAATCCGAAAATTTATTAACCAATGAAATTATTTTGTAGATAATTTATCGATTATTACATTCATCAGTTAAATCAATAGACTTTCCCTTTCAAATATTATTATTATTATTATTATTATTATTGTTCATTTACGTACGTGTATGTTGTCCATTTGTAGAATATGACTTATATTTTAGTGAAAAAGAAATGATTATAAGAAGGACTATATTATTACCATGAACTTGTGAACCAAGATAATATTTATATAAATGAACTAAATTCAATGGAATATTATATGAGAAAAATAAAAAGAAAAGAGAACAGAAACACTGGGAAAAATCTAGTTGGTTAACATAATCTTAAGTAGCTAAAGGCAAATTTATAAATTTCACAATAATTAACATTTCAAAATATAGTACAACTGGAAAATGTTGTATTGCCTAATCATATTGAATTATATTTTCCAAATGCACTTCTATCAAATTATATAATTAGATTTGAAAATTGTCAACAGTAGTGGGAACTGCCTATAAATATTTCTTTATATATAATACATGTATATATATATTTATAATTTATGAGCATGCATTCATCATTTCCGGATACATATAGAAAGTCAGATGATGAAGATCATATAACTAAATCGAAACCTCTAACTAGCAAAGGATGTAGTGATAATAATAGTAACAACAATAATTTGTCTAATTCTAATAATGATAACACTGATGAAAAGAAACTCAATGATGTATTAAAATCAATTGAAGAAGGAGATAAGTATAGTATGTCTGTCGGTCTAGTCAAACAAATAGATTCAGATGACACGGTAAGCTTTAATTTACAGTGATAAATCTTTTTGAAAAATAAAATCGGTACTTATTGAAAATATTTTTTCTGTTTCTTGAACAAGTTCTCATCCAACAGGAAGTATGTATACAAAGCTATCATAATTAAAAATTGAATAAATTCTATAAGAAACCATGTTGAATTCCTTATTTTCAATTTAAAGTTCATGAGCAAATTCATTCTAAGTAATGTTTTAACAAAAAAGAGTTATTTGGCATTTTCATTACATCAGAATTCAGACTTTTCCATGCTGATGTTGCAGATTATTATTTCAAGATGAGATGAAAACCATCAGATTACCGAATGCCTTTTAGTAGCACCATTTAATTTGATTTCAAAACAAAAATAAAACCACAACAGTTCGTTCTGTTCTACTTTACAGATGTGAAACGTTGTCATTAAGGGTAGAAGATACTCGTAAGCTACTAATATTTCACTACAGATGCCTTAGAAATATTGCTCGCATTTGCTGTGATCACTAGGTAAGTAGAAGTGAGGTTAGACGCACGGTATTAGGGAATGATGGTACATCAGTTGATGAGGTTCTGAATCTACATCGACTGAGATGGTTAGGCAATGTGTTGTGTTTGCCTGAACACTGACTATCACGATGTACATTGCTGACTAGTGTTGAGGATGGTTGGAAGAAAGTTAGGGATGGCCAAACCAAAAAGTAGTATCAGTCCCTGAAGTCACTAACTTCTGGTTTGAGCCATGTTGGTGGTAGATGCAGACTACATGGTTGCGGTCCGTGCAACTATGGTAATCAATGGTTGAAGACACTGGGTGACATTGGCTCAGAATCGATCACAATGGCGTACGTGTATACACTCTCTTTCTTCTCTTAAACTATGAGATTAAAATCGCTTCACATCTTTCTTTCTAAGAACTAATTCTCTCTTCCTTTACTATATACTTACATGCAATCTTTCTTTTATATACTACCACCATTGAATTAACTACTTCTATAAATCCAGTGTTAATCTTGTTGTGCTAATGATGTATGGCAACTTGGACCGATACATATATATGCCTGGTCCTACGTTGTAGCTGACTGACTGACAATTTGTTTCTGTTGTAGATACTTATAGTTCAGTAATGAGATATTAAACGGAAAAAGAATTGCTAACATAGTAAACATGACAAGAATTCTTTAATGTACAACTTTTAATTCTCTGTATTTATGTATGATTCATGACTCTTTAGAGATGTACACAACATATTGTTTAATAATTGTTGAATTTAATGATATAACTAACGAGTTTATTTTTATCACGCAAAGATTTAAATCAACTGTTAAACTTAACATAAGAGAATTTCTGCATTGTTGTAAATGATTTGAAACAGTTTAAACGATCATTTCTATATTTTAGGTAAAAAATAGTTCATTACGGTTAAGCATTTTTAAATTCTATTTTCTGCTATTAGAAGTATCCATTCTCCAAGAACATATTATGTTAATATCCTGAAAATTCTGGTACCATTTCCACTTTAAACATTTGATTCACGGGCTGTTAAGCTATTATTGTTCACAATAAGACAATTTTTATATTATGAATCAACAAATGTAGTCTCTGTTGCACAAATTAAAATGATATTTGTCATCTATTTATCCGGTAAAAAGAAATAAAAATAATTTTTTTAGATTATAAATGAAATAAAATGAATAGTAAAGATTTTATATTACGACAGTTATTAAAAACGTAAGACTCAGTAGCTAAATAGATAACGCGTTGACGTTTGAAGCGAATGGTACTGAGTCCGAGTCCCGGGGTAAATATCAACTCTGGGATGCAGGCACATCCAGCTGATGGACCCCAAATAGGACGAAACGTGCTTCTTTGATTCCACTGCTGGCCACTATTCATCTTTGCTTATAATGCTTGTGACTTAAGGCAATATCGAGGTAATCCACACAGGATGCACATATGCCCACGAGAGAATGATCAATTGCAATCCTAAGTAAAAATGGGATGATACAAGTAAAACAACACCAAGTGAATTAAGCGTCTTATTTGTCTAATAAATTGATGATTATCGACTATTTTATTTAATTAAGTACAATCGAAGTATTCAGATAACCAAGAGCAATTCAGTTGACTTTACTAAGAAAGTGATCAATATAGTTTAATTCATCTTATCTTACTTATATTTTACTATCGGATTTTGTAACTCATTTTCCAACCCTCTTTTTTAATTATCGTATTCAGTCAATTTTAGTTTATATAAGTCAAATATATTTGTAATTGGGACTAAATACTAAAAATAAAATCGTCCAATATTTGAAAACCTAAAATAAAATCAGATGACATTTTAGGTTAAAATAAATTACAAGCTGAATTTACGTTGATAATTTCAAACATTTAGGGTTTCATATACATATTGAAAACACTATGAGAAACTGAGTTTTATATAAATATAAGGTTTATTTTCACAATTAATTTCAAACCATCTTACCAAATTTATTTACATTATTATAGTATATTTAGATATTACTAACATGCTCCATATTAATTATAGTACACGAGTTTGCTCAATTCTAGAAACCTCATAAAACTCGATGATTCTTGTAAAAAGCTTCAATTTAGTGTAAACACAACAAAATGTCCTGACCATTTTCGAATATATAATCAGCAGGCGAATATGCAAGTATCGCATTTTAAAATCTAATGTCATCAGCACCGGGCCATTTTTGCCTGCAACTAGCCTGAAGCTGTAAAATTTAGATTTACTACGTGATACCAACAACTATTTTACTAATAAGTAATTTTATTAGATTGGCAATCATAATAAAGTTAAAGGCATGCCTTTTCATTAACACTTAACTAATCAGTATACTATTGACCTTATAATTGTTTTACTATGTTATGTCATTTCATTTCTGTTCACATTTTTTCTAACCACACCAATATATAATAAGTAGTCTGTACATTTATACGGTTAGTTATGTTGGAACTAAAGCATGTAATGTTTATTGACAAAACAAGTAACCGGAATTGCTAGAAAAAAACTATCAGTACATATTTAAAAATAAGTCCCCATACGATGTAGTAAAATCACCATGATTTACCATTTTACACTAAGATACTATGACAACGTAAACAATGATCAGCATATCTAAATTTATACGCCTTCTAGTGATATGTTCGGTTTTTTCTGAACAGAATGGATGCATTATTCCGTCACACTTTCATTCAATTTTGTGCTATACAAAATATATAACAGGAACTGATGGATGTAACCACGAATGAAAAGCCTCACTATAGGTTTAGTTGTTTATCGATTTATTAATGAACAAACGGGGACATAAGTTTCCTTTTCACACATGCCATTTGTTACATAATTTTTTTAAGTTAGTAAAAATTTAATACCAATATATGTATAGCATCTTTGCTGATACTGAGTTATCATTTGCATAGTATAGGAATCATTATCTAACAGAAAAATGTCTTCAGTTTGACTAGGCCATTTCATCCTTTTCTGCGTTTCTGCTTCATGTAGAAATAGACTGCCCTATCTAAAAATACTTTTACTGTTTAACTGGCTGAAAATAAGCATTTCACATCTTGACTGTTAAATAACTTGGTTTGAATAAAATGACTTATACAATTGGTTCTAAGGTTATTTTGGAAACAAAATATAAGATGAACGACGTTTAAATTGGTCAAAACATACTGTAAGGAACAACTGTTTCGTTTCTACTTATCTGGAATTAAGGTTTACTGTTGTTATGCATTTAAATTCCAGATTTTATATTTTATTACTTCTTAAATATTAAATCTATGTAGTTGAGCGTCCTGAAATACACTCTAAACGTAACAAGCTGTAATTTTGTAAATTACCACACATGGTTTCTGTTTTGCTGAAATTAATATACAGAGTAATTCCCAGATATTTAGCTGTTTCAGATAGATAGAGTCAATTTTCATAAGATTGAAAGAAAACTTAATGTGCTTCACATTGACCTAAAGCTAATGATTGAATGCTGGAAAAACTACCTTAAGTCTTAGTTTTCCCCACAAGTATGCTCTTGGAATCGTTTTAGATAAATATGTTTATTGTCCATCAAGTTGTTAAACTGGGTATCAGAGTCCCTCAAAATACTCTAATTCTCAAAAGAAGGCAGTTTGTTGTGACTGATTAAAAACCTATCAATATAAAACTCTCGGATATCTTACCTATTATCCCGACATCATATTGGAAAAATATTTCTGTAGTCTAAGTTGTAGAGAAATCACATTGATGCTTGCATTTTGTTGATATGTAGAAAAAATAATGTACGCTATTCCAAAAATGGACAAATCAGTATTTTATTTCACAACTGATATCGTGGGTTACCATGCCGAACACCATGTGACCCACTCACCCACCGAGGTGGTTGCTGAATACGTACTTGAGGATGTGTTTAATGATTAACTATACGTGCCTTACTCAAAAACTTGTATCTTAGCTTCGCAATATTCTCAAATAGGTTCATAGCTATACTGAGAAGATTAGCATACTAAAAAATAAGTGGTTAACAGATCATCATATTTTTGAGTCAAATTGAAGGATAAACGTCAAACAGGTGAACAGGAAACGATTATAATTATCTGGAGTTAAAAGTGTAAGGTGACAGAAAATAGAATTATGTGTAGGACAAATAATTGAGTCTCCTGCTAACTACCTCAAGTCACCCTGGATCCCAACAGAGTGCACGGATATTCGAGTCATTTATACTAATGTACACATTGGAACATGGTTGACAGAATCTTGTCAGAAAAACATAACATCAATCACTACTAAATGATCAGTTAATTATAAACTTCTCGGTACTGCAGGAGATCAGTTGATGGCTGAATATCTTATTGTTAGCATGTCTCACTGTTAGTCTATCTAACGTGGGTTCGAACCCCCTACAGAATGTCAACTACCTCATTATTACATGTACGCCTTTCTGATGATCGCCAACTAACAGAAGATCTAGGTAAAGAGTTTACTGCTCACCACGTTCAACCACTTAACGTAGAAATCCTTTCATAATAGAGTCGAAACCTCTTTGTTTTTATGTCAACATTGAATTTTTAGGCACATAATATGAGAGTTTTGGGATTCTTGAAACTTGTAAAGACCTAACCTTCCGGCATTTTCAAGTGTTAAAATTCTTTCTTCTAACCATCGTACATTATAGAAAATCGTATAATTGTTTTTAAAATAAGGCTGATGTTAACTGAATATCAGATAGAATTTAATTTTTACTGACTTCGGTATTTTAAAAAATTGATTGTTTTATATTATTGATCTTCATTTATTGTTATTCTATTGGCTGTGCAGGAAATAATGACGAACACTCCCCAGAAAAGAAATTGGAAAGGAATTCTACTTGCATTGCTTGTGATTATGTTTATTTCTTCTTTGATTCTAACAGCAAGTGTCTTAACAACACCAAGTAAGTTGAGATTTCAAGTGTTTGAATGATAAAATGTTTTTGATCATTAATTTATGTATATTTGCATATGTAAAAAACTAAATCCTTTGATGCGTGTATTCCATAGTACACTTCAACGTATTCTTAGTTTCGCCAAAATGAAAACAATGTAAGTATTGCAGCTTATAAACAATATACTATCAGTCTTTTATGGAAATGATCATTCGTTGGTGAAATTTGTTAAAATAATAAAACTAAGACTAAATCTAAATATATAGATTTTAATAGTTGAGATCATAAGTCAATTGAAGCTAGACCACCATGGAAAACCTGGAAGCGTTGGACGGCCGAGAGACTGATAGGTCCTGGATTTGAATCTTGTGAGGTGGGATCGTCGGTGCACACTGCTGAGGAGTCCGTCCAGTGCTTCCACGTTTTCCATGGTGGTCTAGCTTCAATTAACTCATGATCTCAACTATTAAAATCACTATAATATCCGCAAAACTCCTTCTGATATGTAGATTTTGCTCGATATTTGTGTTATATTATTGTAAATGTCAGTGTATAACAAACGAATTTCATCAGGACAGATGTCACATTATTTTTATTTAAAAATATAAAGCAAACTAATACGTTTATTATTACCACAAATTATTCTCGTTGATATTTCTGAATTTAATAGTTGAAAATAAAGACCAATCTTAGTCAAGCAACTGTTGAAGAATAGGAAGCACTAGATCGCTGTTTGTTTCTCGCATAAAACTCTTTATTGATATGCGTACAAGACCCCACCAGGGATCAAACACACAGCCATTAGTTTTCGCGGTAAGCTCTTGCACTTTATACTAAGGGGACGACATCCGGCGGTTTGGATGTCCGACTTCAGTCGACCATTCTCTATTACACTGCTTTACACCTAATACGTTTGAAGTCCAATGTTCGCGGCTTTTCGTCTAGACTCTGGAATTATCTTTCGAAGTCGGACAATAGAGGGAGCATGATTAATTACTAAAACAGGTTTATGGAAAAATTTTTAATATTATAGTTAGCATGATGGGTTGATCTTAGTAGTGTTCATGAGGTGATTCAAGTTCTTTTAATTAGGCTCATTCATCTATCGTGCTTTCAGTGTTCTTTAAAACTATTGATTTAAAACTCGACCTTCAAAACAACATAATATATTAAAAGCAGAGGTGGATGATGGTTAGCGGTGGGATCCACAACGCTCTTTTCTTCCTATTTGGGACTCGTTATCTGGGTGTACCTGCATATTATATAATGCTTTCCCAAGTTCGTATCTACAGATTTAGAAAAAGTGAATATTTAAGAAAACATATAATTGTCAATGTATCTAATGCCAATTTGTGTCATTATACAGACCAGAGTGATACAGGTATATTTGACAAAAATTCCAGTAAAGTCTTCATTAAGTAGATATCAACCAATGTAAATGTTGGTTTTGACGTTACTTCAATTACAATTAGAATTGTGTCATATAAAACTATGAATTATCAATCTAGTTTAACCATAAAATTAGTTTTAATACGGACCCGTTTTAGCCTTGACAATAAATAACAATTATTGATAGACATTTTATGTGCAAACTATATTTGAAATAAGCTCAGCGATTGAAATTCAAATAATTCCAATGTTTCGTCCAACAATCCTGTCCGAACTTCCCCGGAGTATCAAGCAAAATCGTCGAAGGAATATATAGCGTTGTAGCAATCAAATCAAATCTATACTGTGTTTATCCAGTCATATATGGATGTTGATTTTTTCACATGATTCAAATTTAACTGACTTATATTATCCTAATTCGATTATTACCCTGAAGAAGTCGAGACAAGGTGGCTGGACGAAACGTTGAGATTATTTAAATTTTCATCGCTGCGATTATTTCAAATATAATTTCCGCATGAAATGTCTTTTCTATACTCAGCGCCCAATTTCTGTCAAACTGTTCGTTCTAATCTTGACGACTATTTGTTGGGGAGATCCAGAAAACTTCTCGAAAAAAGGCAAGAAATGCTCTGAAAACACTGAGCAGCATCTTATCCAATCAGTGTTCACTAGAAGTTTTGCCAGAAACATCTAGAAATTGGAAGGTCGCATTTCGAGTTTCGATTAGATGATTACTACACTGCTAATATGTTTAGTGGCATTCTAGAATTTTCGGAAAAACCCAAGGACATCTAAAATACTACAAAAACACTATATTTTCTGTACATAAATGAACCTTTGGAGTAACGTGTTTCTTGCCTATTTTGCACCTTTTCTCTAGTGTTCAAGTCACTATGTAGTTCTAGCTTGGGGATTATTAGAATAGTTTAGGAACCGAATATAGCGTTCACTTAGCAAGACTTATCAATATTCGCATAAATTAATAATAAATTTACACTGAATAATTTGGAAATAAATTTGGTCACGTTTCGTATGTTGACTTTAATTGGTGTTTAATATGTAGTAATAATCCCAGTATATGTGTAATAACCATGTCTCTAATTTTCGATTGTCTATCCTAAATATGGAACTACATATTAAATTCTCAATTTATAAATATTATTCGAGTATAAAATCACATTTGTTTATTGAATAATCAGTTTGATTTCAATATATCTTACATAGAGTATCAATTGTTTTTTTATTATGTAATCAGTCATAGTTACATCATAATTAGCTCGTTATTATTTTTTTTCGTAAAATGGTCATTTACTTGTTCTGATAAATCTCTCTCAGTTTTTAGCATAATAATGCTTTGATTAACAGCTGCTAAACTCTTAAGATATAGTAAAATAAAGATTTGTTCCATTGCTAAGATGTGTTATGCACATGGAGAATTAACTGAATATACTTTAATGCTTGGTATAATTTAATAAGCATAAGTAGTATTTCTTGTTTAGTCGAAAATATTGATGTGGAATTATGTAACCTACAAACTCCTTTTTACTGTAAAATCACTGTTTCAGATATGGTGACATTTAGCACTTGTCCGAAAATTAATGCTAATTGACAGCTGTGACAAACTTAAGCATTTCTATTTAGTTTGGTTAAGCTGTTGAAAGTCTCTAAATCATAATGGTCACTTCATAATAATTCATACTGATAGTTTACTGGATTACAAATCTTTAACTCATAGACCATCAAAAATACATATTTGAAATAAAACCAAACAGAGGAAATGTCTTTTTTCAATTAGTTGTTCATTATGGATCTACAACAATATAGATGTTTATCAATCATGAAGTCAATAACAATCAATTAGGGTATTAGACAGAAAATATTACAAATTCAAAATCCATATGAAAATAATTGTGAATGATTAACAAAATAATTAATGATGTTGTAGATAAAACGATTGAAATTCAATTAACAATTATTAAATCAATGAAACGGAATATATAGTTGCGTGACAAATTTTATAAGTGAATTGAAAATTATGTAAGAACAAAAAAGAGTGCTGGAGCTATGCTTCAAAGAAAAATAGGAAAAGAAAGTGTAAAACAAGGATTACGTAATAAGTCATTAGCAGCCCATTTCAATATTGGTTAATACGATGACCAAGTTAAGTATTATGGTTGTACAAATATTTTATAAGCACAAAGACCAGACATTTTGAAATTGATGCATGTGGTTTAAACTATATGTAATATGTGTGCGTAAACTGCATGGCTTATCTGATGAGATCCGGTAGATAATTTGAAATGCACTGCTCAAACTCACTAGATACACTGTATTCGTTAGAAAAGCTAGTATTAAGACCCACTTAACCAAACTAGATGATGTCCGATAATTCACTGACTGACATGCTTAATTGTATTCTCTATCTATCATAATGTATGTTCACTTCTTATTTTGAAAACTACCATCAAACTATGAAGTAGGTTTTTAGAACTTATCCCTCTGTACATAGGTAACCCAGGTTAAACGAGCGAGTGATAAATTTCGACATTAGATGTCTGTCCGCGTTATTATAAAATGTATTCATTAAAAGTATTGCGTATTGAACTAATTAAGTTGGGTTTAACGTTCAGGAAAAAGAATACCGGTTAGAATATATTTTAAAAAATAATCTTCGTAGATTTTTTATATAACGCTATAAGAAAAATGTGTTTACAAGTTTTCAGTTTCAGGGAGAATGTGCTGGTTATTTACCTAAAAGCGTATGGAGAGGTCTTATCTGAAGATTGTTTATAGGACGTTTCCTAGAATCTCACTATAATCAACTTTTGACATAGCATTACAATGAGGATAAATCACATTACCTAAGCAACAGTGCTACGCTGAGTCCGATAACGTTTATCAGGACGACTTTCCGAAAGATAACACATAACAATTAAGTTTTTTTTTAGATTTCACCAAATTAGTGTTTTTTAAAGATCATACAGAGTGGAAAGTGGACTTACTGAAATGACTTGAAGTTCAAAATTATTTCATACATACCAATAAAACCTAGAAAAAATGTGGGTTAACCTAATATACCATATCACATTAACCAGTGGAGATGAAATTAACAAGATGGTTTGTAAAGTTGACTAAAATAATGTGGTACTGATGATATTAATAACAAAAGAATATAGAGAAAATAATTCGAAAATACGGAATTGGAGTGTATGCATTGAGGGATAATATAATTCAAGGCCTAGAAGGCAAAAGTGAATGTACCCGCGCAATCGACAATGATTTTAAGCCATGTGGCTGGGAGTCTCAAACCACTAATCACTGTTATTGCATGAACTCCAGGCATATAGTCTACGTCTACCGAAACAGACCAGACTAACAGCCAGTGACTTATTGGACTAATGTTTCATTTTGGTTCGTCTACTTCACACGTACTTTTACATCAGTTTACATTGGTGGTGGTTAGGGATAACAAACAAATGTTCATTATCTGCCTAATATTGTTGATGGTTAGTGTTTTGCTACGAAAATGACTGTCGATTTTCAATACATTTCTTTTTTAAATTTAGAATCACATTTTAGCACATTCCCTCAGTTGATTTGAAAATTGACAATGTAAAGTTATAATAATCACTGCATCACTCACATTGTATTATTTTATCAAGTCAGCAATACTGAAATCCTTTCTCAAGTATGACTGTGTATCAAAATTGTCACACCGGTTTCTAAGAATTGATGCACAACTAATTTTACTCTCAATATATCTAGCGTATTAGGCGCAAGAAGTGTTTTGTGGAGATCATAGTTGAATTCATGAGTCAACTGAAGCTAGACCATCATGGAAAATCTTGAAGCACTGGACGCCGTTTTTTCCTATTTTGGGACTCCTCAGCAGTGCGAATTCATGATGGGTTGGTTGAAGCGCTTGCACGCGAGACTGATAGGTATTGGGTTTGAGTCCAGCGAGGCGGTATCATAGATGCACGCTGCTGATGAGTCCCACAATAGAACGAAACGGCCGTCTAGTGCTTCCAGGTTTTCTATGGTGGTCTAGCTTCAATTAACTCATGATTTCAGCTATTAAAATTATTGCAATATCCACAGAACCACTTCTGATATTAAATTTTGTTTATCGAAAAGACATAAGTCATAAAGTAATTCAAATGAATAAAAAATCTCAGATATTTGTTGCTTTTTTATCTATCGACAGAGGTGACTGGGAAATTTATTATCTCACAAGTTTACTTCTTTTCTAACCATATTCACTATGTTTAGTTTCACCTAATAGGATTTTCGCTCGCATTTTTATGCATCCTGATCATTTTATTTCGATTTGCTGACCCATTATATATAAACCACCCTTAAATTGCTGACGTCCAGATTTCAATACAGTTGTTTATGTACATTTTACATCGTGATTAGCTTGCTAATTAAAGCTACTTTATATTATCTAAAGGGCATTTTTTAGAACATACTTCAAAATTTGAACAAATAGTTTTCCATTAAGTAGGTGGCAATTTTATGGAAAAGATTATAAGCGAAAGTATATTTGTAAAACTCTTAGCTAATGAAAACAAAAGTAACTCTAACGTTTCATTTGGCATTCAAGTAAATTATTGAACATCGAAACCATTGAGTATAAATCGGGTTCACAAAAGAACTGTGTACTGAACCATTGTCTGATCATTGAACTTAGAATTTGTTAGTGTAAACATGAACATGAGTCCTTAGTGTAAGACCCGGTAAACGTGATAATAATTGAAGATATACTTATATATATCTGTAAGGTAATTACAAGTAAAAATTGTCAGAGAATGAATAATATGGCAATAAAGTGATAAACATATGATTGTGTTGATTATGTTAAACAGAATGTTCATGACATGTCGAACTACAATAACTTGTTAGGAAATAATTAAAGTATTGCGTTATTTTATGCCTATCATGGGATGAAAGAATAGTTAGATAAATAATTATTCTTATCAGAATGGGTTTTGTGGAGATTTTAGAAATTTCACAGATTGAAATCATGAGTCAGTTGAAGCTAGACCACCATTGAAAACCTGGAAGCACTGGACGGCCGTTTCGTCCTAGTATGGGACTCCTCAGCAGTGCGCATCCACGATCCCGCACCACGCGGGGCTCGAGCCCAGGACCTACTGGCTTCGCGCGCGAGCACTTAACCATTAGACCACTGAGCCGGCATCCAACGGTGTTAATGTCTAACTTCAACCAATCCAGTGGAGTTCAACCAGGTCTGTTGTGAGATAGGAACTCACTGAAGACAATGGTGTACGGTGGCGCAACTTCGTGGATTGGTTGAAGTTGGACATTAACACCGTTGGGTGAAGGCTCAGTGGTCTAATGGTTAAGTGCTCGCGCGCGAAGCCAGTAGGTCCTGGGTTCGAGCCCCGCGTGGTGCGGGATCGTGGATGCGCACTGCTGAGGAGTCCCATACTAGGGCGAAACGGCCGTCCAGTGCTTCCAGGTTTTCCATGGTGGTCTAGCTTCAACTGACTCATGATTTCAATCTGTGAAATAATTATTGATTTTTATTCATTAGCTACTGTTAAACAACTAAATGTATTCTGTTTTATCTACTTGAATTGTCTGGGTTTGCTTATATATGCCGGTCTTCTGTTGTCATTCATTGAGACTAACGAAACCTTATTTATCAATTTTGTACCACTTAAGTTAATTTTATGTTCAGCTTCCGATGGATGTAGTGGTATCACTTATGTATTTTTAATTCAAGCATAGTCTCACTGTTCAGAAAAGATATACCCAGTTACTTATTTTGCCATGGTATTAACTTACTAACTTAATTTTGCTATTCTATAAATAATTCTTAACACCTGTTCATTTCCTCGCTATCTTCGCTTAATTTGTTAAGTGTGAGATTATTTTTCGCCATTTTAATATTATGTAATTTTCACTTATAATTTAAAAATAACTTGGGTATTTTCATAACCCTGTTAACTTCTTATTTTACCATAGACTATTATATGTCAAATGGCCATAAGTAAAATTGTACCCGTGTAATATATAACATCTTTGATACGAAAATTTTCTTAGCTGAACCATCATTATTCTGACATAGAAGGTCATGAGCGTAAATATTGTTTGAGAAGTTTGGTTTGAATAGATTTTTGGAGCACTGTGTTTGACAATTGTTTTTCTGCTTGTTTGTTATAACAAATTGACTTCTTACAAATTTGGTTTTTTGGTTATTTTCATTTAGTGCGCAGTCATCTTTTCATAACTAATTTCTTTTGGTTTTGAATTTTAGAAGAGAAAAAGATCGACCATGGATTACCATTCACTTTTTCTGATCTTATTCTCATAGATCGACTTTTGGAATCATTCAATAGTCAATCTGTTAATGGTATGATGTTGCTCTTACTAATTATGAGTATTTACATAAGCAACATTTTTCTATAATACTTTGAGCTCTCTATAACTTTGAAAAAACCAGTTTAAAAGATCTCAACGTCTGTCTAACTGACGTCTGTCCATTTTGTATAAACGTTAAAATGATGAGTAGTTCCTGGTTGTCATATAAAATGCAGTTCGAATAATCGATTGAGCAGTTTTAACATTGATTAACATAACTCTTGAAGGCAATCTGGAAACTTTTATAATCAATCTTTGTTCCATATTTGTAACAGTTATCTTATTGGCAGATAATAAAACGCGTTTCATTGTTGTTTTTTCTTACTGACCTAATAGTAGTATAATCACAACTTTGATTATCTTCATGATGTGCAATACTGTTACTTTCTACTATAACAATTGTACTGTTCAACTAGACCAAATTAGTTTCAAAATAACCTGAAGTTCAACATCAATTTAAAAAAAAAAGAAAATTGCCCTAAGTATTTTAAAATTTATGTAAATATATCTCTGATTACATTGCTGTAAAATTATTAGTCCGGATGATAAAAGATGTATAATTTTACATAGACAAGATTGTCATTGCCGATACATCTAGCTGACGAGTCGAAAATAGGACGAAACGCGCGTCCTGGATTCCACTGCTAGCCACTATCCATCTTTATTTGAAAAGCTTGTGACTTAAAGCTATGCCAGTAAGACACTGATCGATTGCAGTCCTAAATAACAATGGGAAGTTACAAGTAAAACAACGCCAAATGAATTTAGAATTATAATGTTTAAATACAAAGTAGTTAGCAGGTGCTGTTTTATCCTAGAGCTTTAATTTACTCTTAATATAGTGTGGATAATTTTGACTGTAATAACTCAGTGACTGAATTTAGACTTTTTATAACATAGAATTTAAAATAATAGTTTTATTTAAGTAAAATCTTGATATTATTGGTAGAGTCATTTCAATACTAATCTTTAAGATAAGGTTAGCTTACTAATAAATTATTCACTCATGGTATATTCACATTCGTACGAATAATCACATCACATCAATATATCGAATTGAAAATCTCAAGACAAATGTAAAAGTAGTTGAAGTCGTGAAGGTATAATAGGTCATAGAAAGGATTAGGTTTTAACAATACTATTCCAAAAGAAAGAATGAATTCACAATATAAAAAGTATGACAAAACTTCAGGATTCAAGAGAAGATAACGAGTGAATGCATTTGCAACATTGTTAGAGATTCTAAGTCAAGTCACCCGACGTTTCAAATCATTTGTTACAAACAGGTAGATTCAGTTTCCTTAATATGAACATTTGAATTTAGTCAGATATCTCAAGTTACTAGGAATAATACACTAAATATAAAAATTTATATTCGCCATTTGAAATTCAACTAGCCATTGAGATCATTTATAAACACTTCACTGAATAAATTAATTCTTATTATCATTTATGACCACTTCAATCCAAATTCTTGGAATTATTTTCAAAATGATTTCTCATTTAGTAATTTCAAGCCAAATACTTAGACATTAACCTAAAATTACGTGAAAGATTTCTTTGTGATCTCAGTGCTTACTATTAGGTTGAACGTGAATTGCTTCAAATATAAGCTTGTTCAGTGAATATGACTTCTGGCATACATCTTAGATAAGTTACATCAGAACTCTGTGTTCACTTTGTTACTTAAATTGCTTCAAGCCTGTTGTCATTCATTAATCGGCATAGTGAAAGAGAGACTACTAATCACCATGAATTGTACACTGAAATAATGAAGACACACCTATTTCTTAGAATAAATTTTATTATTTTATGTCAATAAATGTTACCAGTAAAAGTAAGATGTTGATATGAAGCTGTAACCTTTCTTGCTGTCATTATCACATAAAATTTCAATATAATTTTAGGTAGTTTTGTTTATTTAACGAGAGGAAAAGATCTGATCGTGTTGGATACTGATACGCTCAAAGAAACACTTCTTCTATCTCATCTTGTTATACAAGAGGTAATCATTGAATTTATCGTGAGATGATATCTCACCTCAGTTTTTTGATTGAGCATTCTTTATAATTGCGTTTTGTGTAGTCCTACTGATATCATAAAAAAAACATAATCCATAAACTAAAGTTCTGTGATTATAATGTGACTAGCTATTTCACTGATCTGATTGCAATGATTTAAGTGTTTAACAAAAGTTGTTACCTACCTTTTTTCAATAATTATGTATCTAGCCTTCTTTGAATTCTAAACCAACATACCTAAACATTCATAATCTAGTCATCAGTGATAAATCGTATTTTTTGGAAACGTTTAATTTGTTAAAAGACATTTACATCTAAAACTTAGAATTTTTAACACAGTTCTTTTAAACAAACCCATACAACAGTGTTTCAAAGAAGACAAAATATTTCAACATATTTACCTAAAGTGAATTGTGTTTTAATACAAATATATGCATCATAGTTTTACCCAGGTAACTCTTGTCTATAGAGAATGAATATATGTGAGAATGCACTAAAGATCAATGGACTTTTAAAGATAGCAAATACCCATATTTTGCTAAACTTAGCATGGTTTTTATGTGAGCATTACATACTAACTCAACAATAATTTCGTTCATTCTCACTCAAATCATATATTGGGTTGTTTAGAATTGATATCTGTCCCATGAATTTTATGTTGAATCATCCAGATGACTTCAGCAAATAGGATGAGTTAAAAGCTTCATCATCGTGTAAAGTGTTCCAAATTTGTTATCGAACAGTTGTGATCTTCTGAATGATTATATACAGATTATTTTTTTCTTAAATCCTTATACTTTGCTGATAGTTTTCAACAAATGTAAAAAATAAACTTATTGACTTGAGTGAGTTATTTAACATTATTGACAAGAAATGAAACACTACCTAACAATAGTGAAATAAATAAGAACACGATGATACAAATAAACAATACTCTCAAAATATCATAAGACTAAAATAGAATATAGTCAGAGAGAGGTTTTGTGGATAGTATAGTAATTTAATAGTTGAATTCATAAGTCAATTAAAACTAGACCACCGTAGAAAGTCTGGAAGCATTGGACGGCCGGTTTGTCCCAGTGTGGAACTCATCAGCAGTGCGCACACATGGCTCCGCCTGCGGAATTAAAACTCAGAACCTATCGGTCTTGTGTGCGAACAGCTAACCTCTAGACCATTGAGCCATCATCCAACGATGTTAATGTTTAACTTCAACTAATCCACGGAATTGCGCCACCGTCCACCATTGCCTTTAGCGAGTTACTATCTCAAAACAGACCAATTTGAACTCCACTGGTAACGGATTTTCACCAGAACTCCAAGAAATAACTCTTGGAGACAGTCTGTTGTAAAACAGTGACTCACTGATGACAATGAGTTAGACATTAGCACCGTTGGATGCCGGTCAGCTCAGTGGTCTAGTAGTTCAGCGTTCGCGTGCAAGACACATAGGTCCCGGGTTGGAACCCCACGAGCGTGATCGTGGATGCAAAATGCTGATGAGTCCCACAATAGGACGAAACGGCGTCTAGTGCTTCCAGGTTTTCCATGGTGGTCTAGCTTCAATTGACTCATGAATTCAACTATTAAAATATTTTATATTATATTTACATCTACCAAGGAGGCTCTGACAATAATTGATATTAAACATTGGTCTATCACTAACAGTTAATCAAATACATTTTTAACATACATATTGTCTGTAGGATGTCTGCTTAATTGTTAATATTGATACAACTTATAAGGTGCATCATGTCTGCTTTGTCATTGAATATTTCTCTCTTTCTATGTATATATACCACTACTTATTTTCGTTCTATTATTTCAAAACAAAATTCTTATCCAGAAAGCCTCATTCATGGATAAATATTTTGTTGCACCAGATCTATCGGCAGTGATATTAGCATATGATTTTAAAGATGTAAGTGAAGAATTATTAATCGTGTGACATCTTTAATTTTCTATTCTTGTTGTTTTTCGTTTTAGTATATATATATATCATAACATGGATAGCAAATATAAAGGTGAAAACAATGAACCGTTGAATTTCACCATACTAGTGAAGCGGTTACTTTGATTATGAATGTTCTTTAATAAAATGTTCAAGGAGTAGTTCTAAAAAAAATTAAATTAATCCAAATCAATGCTACTTAATGTTATCCAAGGCTTTATAAATTAAAACATGTTTATAAGATAAAACGAAGTTTTTCATAATGGAACGTTTAATAATACAACATCAACATGAATAAGTTCATAATTTAATCGGAAATTTAAGAATAATATTTCGAATAAATATAGATGCTATATAGTTTCAATGTTATTTGCACCATAAAAGTATTTCAAATGATAAATACAAATAGATTTTGCTAGTCTATGATATGTATCTTCGAATCTCGATGTCACCAATGGAGGCGTAGAGAACATTAACCATAATTTTAAAACAAAAAGTATTCGAATCAGTACAATCATCAAACTTGGAAAAAGTAGTTATCCAGGAACCAGTTGTAAAGATCAAGGCATCACAAACATAAGTCAGTTAATTAGGCCTGAATAAGACTTTTGTAAACCTAAAACGCTAGATTTCAGCGATATTTGACATTTTTTTGTAAGTAAGCATCGGAGCTGCACAAAGTTGGTAATAAAGTTTCATTTTCATATTGATTATGTGAATGTTTAGTTGATTCAAAATTGTTTTCTCAAATTTCAGCCTACTCGACGTTCTGGAAAGTCAAAGTATGATGTAGTGAACCTTAATCCGTGAGTGACGGATGATTTTTTTTCATGAATATTTTCAAACAAATTAACTGTTCTTTCGACGGACTTGTTAAATTAATGGTTTAAGATGTAGTTTATGCCATCTGATTAACTGCGCAAAAATAGGGTGCAACATTGTGTAATAAAAAATTAGATTAGCTTTTGGGTTACTGTTTGGCTTACAAGGGATTATTATTGATAAGCTTAGATTGTATAAATCCCATATCTAGAAAAATGATACCACATGAAATATCTGAAAAATGTTGATATTAAAGCGATTAGTCTATCTGGAAATACATTATAGTGCTATGTATTATAATTTGAAAATTTAGGTTATCATTTATAACGTGCAACATTTGAAATTTTTACATTGGAGAGACTATAATTTATGGACGACCTTTGAACTAATCTTCAGTGAAATTCAGAAATATTAGCCAATCAGAAAACAGTTTGTATAGAGTAAAAATATAATATACAAAACCAAAGAATTAAAGCGGATTCAGTTCTTTTACATGGTTCAAAAAACTTATCAACGTTAGAAAAGAGGTTCAGAGGTTCTAAAATCCCAATGAATACAGTAGAGGAAATCATCCATATGGCTCCAGAATAGTCGGCCTCTGAAGCCACGATAAGGTGCCAAAACTCTTTCAGCCCTGACTATATAGCTTCAACGTTGTTTGTGTGCACTCCGGTTGTTGGGTCCACAAAATGCCGCTTGTGGATAACGACACGATGCGTATAATCAAGTATATGTAGGCATCTGTACGCTCTACAATCATTCGTATATATTGTAGTACCCGGCAGCAGCCAGTGTTACTAGTACTTTTGTTATCCAGTTGGCAACAATTCTCATAGTTTGCCTTAGTCTGGATCGAGCGCGAAAATCCTATTCTAGCAGACTCCTCCTTCCAACACATGAAAAGACAATATCATCACGGTGGTCTGCACAAGATCCACAAGTCATTTGATTACCACAATCACAAATAAAAAGAGTTCTTAATAGTCCCATCTGTTGTAGCCGCTCAATTATCACGTTTTCTCTAAAAACCACTACAAAACGATAGCACGTGAGCATCAGGTACTGAAATTGGCTCCGTGACCTTAAAATCCCTCAAACGCTTCGTCCATAAATTATGGTCTCACCCTTTTAGCATCTCTAACAAAACAAAAAAGCTATTTCATTTCACTCTGGGATGTAGATACATCTAGCTGATGAGTCCCAAATAGGATGAATCCCGCGTTCTGGATTTCACTGCCAGCCACTATCCATCTTTGCTTATTTTAAGTAAATTTTAGGTATAGTTTTCTAGCAGGGTTTATTTGTTCCAGACTATAATAATTACTTGACTTTTTCCTTTATGTTGGTATAACAGTGTGAGGCTGGAATAAATTAACTAACATTACTATCTTATTGAAGCATGTACATTTACATGATGTTACTTGATGTACAAGTTTTGCTTGTAAACATCTAGCTTTCAGGCATCATCTATTCATTATGTCAGTTTTATGATGTAATATTATTGATTATATATCATAAACTTACTAGATTTAATTACGAAAAGATATACTTTTGGTCCACGAATCACTTAATTTGTAATATTTTAATCAATCAAAAAGTTAATAATGATAAATGGTCCCTTGTTTTCACAACAACAACTTTGAAAATACAACTGTGAAATATTAACAAACAATTAATTTTAGAAAACAATTGACTAGTTTCTTTCAAACTCATAATATTTCTGTATAGGGTAACAAAGAGAACTGGACTTGAAAGAAGAATTGAAATCGGAGTAGACGATCAAATGACAGAACAACCATTTTTAGACTTTGTCAAGTGGTCACCAAAAAGTAATTGTATAGTAAGTTATGTAATTTATTAAGTTAATACGTTTTAGTTTGGAAAACGAGTAAACCTCACTGGTATTCGATCTTATAGTCCATCAAGTGAAATACTAAGTCGGTTAACTGAAAACCGTTTGTCTGTATAACATTTCAGCCCAGCCACTGTCTCATAATTACTAGATTGTATGTGAAAGTGCTTTGTTAAAGTACTGTTTATCTATCTTTGACTGAAATTTGTATACATTTCACTCGTAGATTCTACATGAACATCACTGAACTTGAACTCAGAAGTGAATTCAGATGTTATAAGAATGATATCCATCTCATATTTCACAAGTATTTATCTGTAATATGGTTGTTGAATGTAAAATATACATCGTAGGTTATAATCCACATGTCACATTGATGATGAACCTTTATCAGTTAATCTACGTTGTCACAGTACACTCCGTTGAACGCTCTATAACTTGGTTTTTATGCTGATTAAATTTGTGGAAGCAACAAAATTCATGGCTCTTGCTGTCTCCTGTTTATTTTTTTAAATTCTATACGTATGAACGTCTCCAAAATATAAGCATTATTCTCAACATTTCATTGTGCACAATGCACAATATTATTAAATATTGATGATTGATCATTTACACTTGTGAAAAAATATTTTCGCCTAGGAATTCAAAATACTGAAATAATAGATAAATAGTGGTAAAATATAATGTAATATGCAAATACCTTAGGTATTTGGTACAGTCGAAGCAAAATCGTTTAGCGTTTGCCATAGAAGTGTAATTATGAAAATGGTATTGCAATCACGAAAGCAGAGATATTATTATTTCATACTTTTCTTCAACACAAAAATGTCTGACAATCGCATATGCATAACAGTTGTTAACGTTTCCATGTTTTAGCATTTTTCATGGTTACCGACTAAAAAAATTGATGATTTGTAACTTAATAGTATAGAGGGATTGTGGAAAAGGTATGATTTTCAGTTTAAATCACAAACCGATCTTAGTTAGACCACAGTTGTAAGCCTGTAAGCACTGGATAGCTATTTCGTTTTGGTACGAAACTCCTCAGTAGTGCACATCGAAAACCCTGCAGCCGGTCATCGAACCCAGGGTCTTTGGTATTAAACACAGACAATTAACTTGTGTACCTTGACCCTCATCCATCGCGTGTGCTGGATAATTGTCTCGCACCAATAGAGTTTAACCATGCTGAGTACGAATTACCTATCCACCAAACTCAATGGATGGAGATTTCGCAATATCGTGAGTTGGTTGAAGTTAGAGATTAGCGCCGTTGGATCATAATGACACAGATGAATTGTTTTATTTTACATCTTGAGTTGCATCACTCCTTTTAAATGCTCACTATTTTATTCTAATAAGACTTAATGACGATGATGTTAGTGAAATACATAAACTATTTATCTTTGTATATATGCTGTCGACAAATCGTGTTAACTATGTAGAAACAAAGAGTCAAATACCAGTTTCAGACATTTCATGTGAACAGGTAAACTGTACAAGTGAAAATGGAGATCGAATTAACGCAAAAAAGAGTACCTGTACAGAACTACACTATGAATAATGGAAGATTTAGCCTTTAAATAAGATGAATAATTTATGAATTACAGATAACCAATTAGAGTATAGATGTCAAATACGTTTCGGGGAAACAACTAAAATATTTTCAAAGTTAATAGTGGATAATCAACGTGAACATGTATATCAAAAAAGACTAAGAATGCAACTAGACATCCATACATACAAGATAATCAACAAAGTTACGGTTAAACGTGTAAAGGCCAAAAAAGAGCTCACAACAGTTCGCATCAATCTTTTACATTAATTCATCATAAAATCGTAAATTACTTAAGGTAATTAAATGTCACTACACCTTTATATATACATCTCGAATCATTCATTCTCATTATAATTGCCATATCATAATCCTATAAGTCTGCTATTCATCTGTTTATTATCATTACATTGTATTTATGTGATTTTGAAAATTGGCTAACTCATAACATTCTCCACAAATTCCCTTACTGATGACTCATATTATCAGCTGTTTTAACGTTGATTGTAACTGATTAATTATGTATAAACTTACGTACTATCCTTAAATTATGCTTGTGTGCTACATTATAGGATTGAATAATTAATTATTTTTCTTTATATGAGTGTTTGGTACTCTGACATTTTTTGAATACATTCATTGTATGACTTTAGGCTTTTGTAACTCAGAAGAATATCCACCTGTTATTCAATCCACTTGATTCAAATAATAGGAAGGTTGTAAATCTTACACAGTCGATGCCCCAAAGTCACATGTCTTATGGTGTATCAACTTGGTTATATGAAGGTACGTAATATATAGTTTAATATTATATTGGAAGATGAACTGAGGTATTATACGAAAGCAATTTTTCGGGTATTGACTTATCCAGTAGAGCAGGAATACTATAATTTACTGTATCAAAGAAACTGAAACCCAAAAAAAGTCAAATGTGAATAAATTCTTCGGTATATTTACAGTCCGAATATATTTGTGAGTTAGTTTTATTTCGATAGAAGAATGAGAAGACGGAGTTAATCTGAAAAATGTGATGTATTCGCGCTATATATTTCGAACAATCTGGTCACACATATTCTTGTCAGAGCATTTTATATGAAAATAAATAAAGGTCAATTAAATGAAAGTTCAAGTAAATATGTAACAAAGGGGAGAGGAAGAATAAGAAATTGTCGCGTTATCCTAGGCCATAGAATGACTTAAGGATTACCAAGGTAAATTCAAGGTTACGACAAATTGTTTTTGCACACATAAGGGGGGTTTAAATTTACGAATAGCCAAAGCTTAAATAAACTTGAGAATTCGACCTTGACAACTTCTATACAACGTTCTAAAAGCTGTATTAAAGTCAATTTCGTGCCCCGTTTCAATTATATGTCTCGCTATCGATGAACCTGGTTTTCTACCTCCCACGTTGATCGGATCATTTGACACACATTAATTTTGAAGCCATCTAGGCACATGTTCATTGACTCTTGATTGCATTGTTCGATCACTCCTCCCTATCTATATGTGTCCACACAAATATGTAAATTGGTAAATACAATGGGATGTGACGTAATCATTAGTGCATTGTTTAGGTCTATTAGGAATCATGGGCTTAGACTTTTCAATCACAACCAGTTGAGCAGCATAATAGGTATTCTCGATGGCTGCTTTCAGTCTCTGTCTTAAAACTATGCTGTTGGATTCACCTCTATATGGTAGATAGATATAAACTTTTTTCTTTGGAACTGAATAAACAAGATGTCTTGGCATTAACTGACTTTTACGCCTACTAATAAACCCAAGTGGATAACCATTTGCCATTAATGTGTCAATCAGTAACTTTTCATCTTTTTCCACCATGTCAGAAGTACAAAATGCTAGTCTGAAATCGAATTCAGCAATTTGAAGCGTTTTGTTTCTAGTAATCAAACACAACAATTATGAATACTTTAAATACTGATTATTTTGTACTATTACTCCGAACTCTATTGCGTAATCTATGTACTAACTTCACTTTTTAACCTACAATGTGATCACAAACTTTTGTGATAAGTGAAGTAAGGATGAAAAAGCTCTCATGCTTCATTTGACCTAGAACCACACCAATGATAGGGATGATCAAGGTCAAAGCTCATTAGAGACGTATTATTTTGTGTAAGCAAATCTGTACACAAACGTTTTTCACAAGCTTTAACCCGTTTACTTTTAACAGGTCTAGTTATTATCTAACATCACACTGCAGAATGAAACTTGTACAAATATATGTTTATTTATAGATTGAGAAAGGAAGGAAAATCATTTTACTAAACTTATGATGAGATGTGACAGTTTTGTCTGGTTAACACATCTTAATGAGCTTTTACTTGTTCTCAGTTGATTGCTAATTCAAGTTAACTTGTTTGAAGGTTGTTGAGTAATTATGAATTCACATAAACTACGTGAATGTATGATACAACATTCATCAGCATGAATAACAGTGAAGCAAGCAATATTGTGTTCCATTTTGTAATTAATTACTGATCTTCACACTAATTTCTAGCACATATCAATCAGAAGTAATGGATTTTACAGTACTTTCGAAGTAAATGTTTTAATCATTAGGTCCAGGAGCTAGACGAATGTGCACTGAAGACACCATCCATCACGAGCTGAGTATAATTTGACGAACACTTATGGAGAATGGCCTCCCACCCGAGTTTAATGACAGTAATCTAGAACCAAATAGTCAATTTAAAGTAGTCCCACAGTTCCGAAGAACGTTTTATCGCTGAATATCCAATTTAAGAGAGATACATCAGCTGAGATATTGAAGAACAGATTATTCAGTTTCTTGAACAAGACTTTTTATTCAGTAGAGCTTCGAACTGTTTTCTTCAGCAAGAAACTGATTCAGATAGGTGTCAAGGAAAAACTGTCTTTTTATGACACTTCAGTGTGCATCTATCAGTTTACTTGCCCTTGTTAAACAGGTTACATTGGACTCAAAATGCATTGTTGTCTACATGGTTATGCAAATCAATCAACAGCTCCGTTCTCGAACACAAGGATTCCTGATAATCCCAACTATATTATCCAACAACACTTCATTTTGATTGACCTCTACGTGAATAAATTTGGTTATCTTTGATAACTTTTTAGAACCCCTCTATTTTACTATTGACCACTACATGTAAGACGTTAAGTATAAATACGATTATACAGCTTCAAAAATTATGTCGTCAGAATGAAACGTCCCTTCGCTGTAACGTCTTCATTCTTTCTACGAAATCCATGAAAGTAAACGTTTTTTGAAATACTGTTATCATACGTCAAGTGTGTTGAAAATTATTATAATTATAACTAAAAATAATAATGATGATAATTAAACAACACCAAGTGAAAACCTATACTTCTTTTGTTTCTTATGAAATTTCTGATTTATAGAGGAAATTTTGCATACTAATGAAGCATTATGGTGGAGCGATAGCGGAAATTACTTAGCTGTAGCTGCGTTTGATGAAACAAATGTGAGTACATATGAAATACTTAAATTTGGTGATGATTATGAGCTGAAAAATAGAAATAGGAAGATGAAATATTCGATGGTAAGTGAAATATATCTGGTTGGATTTATGTGAATAATTTCTTTTTATTTAACTGTGAAACATGTTAAATATTGTGTAATCAACAATTAATAAATGCATTATTATCAGAAGGAGTTTGTGGAGATTTTAGAAATTTCACAGATAGAAATCATGAGTCAGTTGAAGCTAGACCACCATGGAAAACCTGGAAGCACTGGACGGCCGTTTAGTCCTAGTATGGGACTCCTCAACAGTGTGCATCCACGACCCCGCACCTCGCGGGATTCGAACATAGGACCTACTGGGAAGCTGTTACCAGTGGAGTTGAATTAGGTCTGTTTTGAGATATCAGCTCACTGAAGACAATGGTATATGGTGGCGCAACTTCGTGGATTGGTTGAGGTTAGACCTTAACACCGCTGGATGAAGGCTCAGTGGTCTAATGGTTAAGTGCTCGCGCGCGAAGCCAGTAGGTCCTGGGTTCGAATCCCGCGAGGTGCGGGGTCATGGATGCGCACTGTTGAGGAGTCCCATACTAGGACGAAGCGGCCGTCCGGTGCTCCCAGGTTTTCCATGGTGGTCTAGCTTCAACTGACTCATGATTTCTATCTGTGAAATCCACTATTATTTATTCTAGCACTTTTAAGTAATGAGTTTTAAAAGTGCATTCTGTTAATTAGCAGCTTAAATTAGAAGATATTTGAGGTGGCCTACTTGATCAAGATCGACTAGGTCGAATTATATATTTGCAGATTTGTTAGTGTTGGGTATGGATTGAGGACGCTAGTTTATTTTCGAAAGCTAGTCTATTTTTAGTTGAGTTATTGGGGAGCCTGTACACACGAAACCATCACCAGAATCCCATGTCATTTTAATCTAGGACTTTCCAGTACTTTACATTCAAGAAATGAAGAAAAAACGTAAGTCAGTTCTACTTATGTCTCGCAATCAATCAGGGTTCAATAGTTCAGCGAATTGAACTAAATCGCACGTTAACCACCCTATACTAACGGTAATACCAGTACCATTCGCGAGTTCGTTGAATAAAACTGGTCACAACATCCTATTAGAATATTTGCAGTTCATTTTAAAATCCATTCATCAATTAATATATTATTATAGTTTAGTTAAATGGTATCGTACTAATTCATTGTAAATAAAGTTACTCTACATACTAAAATCAGATGGAAAATTTTAAAAGTATGAGACCTTGAAAAAAACAGAATGTCTATTCATTAAAACCTATATTTCATTGGCTATTCGCTAAATAATAGATGATATCAGGTGGTTTGGAATATTTCACAGGAGACTATGGAACTAGGTTTTGTTCTAGTTAGCACTTATCATCAAAGCGTACCTGAAATAGTGCTGAGACTGATGCTCTTCTATTGATTCAGACGAAGGGTACTCAGTTTCATAATATGGAACTTTACTATTGAGCTCTTCAGACAGCAAATGACTTCCTGTCGGACTAAAATGTTTAACCTGACTGATTATTAGTAATGTTTTGTTAGGCAACTCCATAATTCTGATCAACTTTCACTGATAAAGTTTGAGTGTGATCATCATTTAAATTTACAGTACTAACAAACAAATGCAGAATTTTAGCAATTGTGAAAACATGAACTGTAGGTTAAGCGTTCGCGCGCGAGACCGAAGGCCCTGAGTTCAAATCATGGGGTGCACTGTTGAGGAGTCCACACTAGGACGAAACGACTGTCCAGTGCTTTGAGGCTTTCATGGTAGTCTAACATTAATCGGTTCATGATCTCAATAATCTCCACAACCAAATACTGATAACTTCAGATTTATCTAAACTGATAAATGCGTCTTTAATTCCCCGAAATTCCATTCAGAGTCCGTAATCTGTCGAGCTAGTTAAGTCAGGAGTGGAACAACTGGTCACCAACGTTATTTAATGAATACAAAACAATATTCCAAATTCAACAATATTAGAATATGTATACGATTATATTCCAGATTGGTGGCCTACTAGTATCAGGCTTTCTATCAGACTTGAATTTTAAGCGCCAGATTATGTTTCCCGTCATAGGAGGTTGCTGTGAGTTCTGAATTGGGAGAGAAAAGCTGTTTATGTTTACAAACTTATAAGCATTCACATAATGATAACAACAATAGTTTTATTCAATATCACAAGTTCAGTACAATATGATATTCCCTCTACATCACCTTATAAGTCAGAAAAAGTTTATCTACGTAATTGCTTGAAATTAGCACGCGAAATTACATAAGATTAAATTAAATCTTCATAACAAAATAATAACCTACACTTTAATATATAGGAAACAGGTCCGATAGTAGAAGTTTCTGGTTGAATCAGCCCTTAAAGTTAGAGGAAATCGTAAGTGATAAGAGGTAATATGTAAAACCGAAAAAGAGGGAAATAAATAATAGGTCAAACGATTAGCTATTATCGGTAGTCATAAAACACGTCAATAGTTAGAGAGATCGTAAGAATAGATTATTAGCATTCTTATTACAGAATCTCCCACAGTACAAACTTCATGTGATTTGAACAGTGTTTTCATGTTTTAGACTAAAGATAACATTTGAATATTTATGAGCATTATTTGTAATACTATTAAGATTTTATCATCATTCAGTGAACCGGAATGATAAGAAACTGAAATATATACTGTAAGACCATTCACATTCTTTATGAAGGTGCCTTTATGAGGTACTAGATCATGCAAATGTTACTGTGAAATGTTTCATTTATTAAGGGTATTCCGTTTGTCAGTAGAAAGAGATAGGCAACCTTTAATAAAGTCTCAGAAATTTTACTTTGTTCTAAATTCTGTAAAGTTAGTAACTTTCTATGTGATTTAAGTACACCGGAACCTTACACTCATTTGTTTCATAATGTCTAGTCGTCAACAAAATGTCTTCTAATATGATTTATCTTAACGACCTATTCAAAATTACTGGTCTGAATTATTGGTTCTATGCTTCATAGATACTTCTAAAATTCTAATTTTATCCTGAAGTTAGAACATTGTCTTATATTTCGTTTATAAATGTAGAAATAATAATCAAGTTTGTAAATGCCTTAATGGTGGCAGTGTTCAAGCAATGAATCTCTCCCCAAAGTTCCCTACTTATTGATCGAGTTATGAGACCCTGTTATTGACATGATCATAGTATGCTGAACCCAAGTTATAATTAAATTATAGTATGACTCGGGTTTTTATTTAATTTCAAAGACGATAGTTGAGTGCGATAAGTGGTTTATCCATTAATCCACATTACAAGTATAGAAGACTCTTAGAACATATAATTTTATGACAGTGCAATAATTATGCGCATTTACTATGAAGATTAAAAATTTTGTTCAGTTTTGAATTGACTGAAAATGAAGGTACACATTTCTTATTTTATATACTTTTTAGGCAGGTGAGACCTCCTTGTATAATAGTCCTGTGGTTACCTTATATCTATACGATATGAAAACTATGAACTTTCAAATAATTCCGATACCAAAACAAATTCCTAGGTGAGTGTATTTCAAATTATATATAATTTTATATCTGTTACTAAATCTATTATGTATACAACAAGAATCTCAGCAATGATTAATCAAATATACAACTGAATAAACAAACACATCTTTCAGCACATTCTCATTAAATTATACACTTACGTCTGCGAACTAACAATTAGAGTATTACGTTTTCTAATACCACTTACACTTTTACTACTTCTGCAAAGTTGACATTTTTGGTCATTTCATCGTTCTGTGCTGACATGGTGTGTCGACTCGAACCAATCCACATGTGTCAGATTATTTGTCGTTTATGATTATTGCCCTGCTACTTAGATTTATAATTAAGAAGCAAGAAACCATGATTTTTTGGTTGAATGTCATTGTGATTTCTGCCACAAGATCACCTAATTTGCCGGTGGTGTATTAAAAGAGTTTCAAAGACCTCAGTGTGTTTCATACTTTGAAGTCCATCAAGTTTCATCAAGAAAATAATCACGTAGCATATCATTCTTTATATGCATGTACATTGTATTACTGTATGTAAACTAAAACAACAGGGATACAGCATCCTTCTGAATCAACATATTGAATAATTCTGGATTGAATCAGTAATCTGCGAGTTACTATGTTTATTATATTATGTATAGTGATGGATTATTAACAATGGCGCGCTGGATGAATGATGACATTTTCGTACATGCATGGACAAACCGTATTCAAAATCGTGGTTGGATAACCGTTTTCAGTCAATCTCTGAATCAAAGCTGGGTTGTAAGTTCACCAAAAAAAATTATTACCTAAAAGTCCCTTTTTAAACACGTTTTGCATTTCATCGGGAAAACGTCTTTCAGTCATCGTAAGTTTTGCCCAGTTTTTCTCTCCAGACTGTTAATTATCTGCACTATATGTAAACAATACATTTGACGTTCATGTGTTATTTGAATATTTAGTTCAAACAACCAAGAGACAATTATTAAAAATTTGTTTGTAATCTTTCTACTCTGTTGATTACAGTAATCATGGAATAACCTCAGCTGAGTTATTGTCAAAAACCAGGGAACATTGTATAACTGTATTAAAACACCCCTGCACTAGTCTCTATTTTAAAAATACAATATTTAAAAAAATACATATAGTATAGTATGTTACGTGTGAAAATGAGAAAAAGTAATATTCATCATATTAGCGATTTCATTTATTCAACAGGACAATAAAAAGTATTGCCGAAAAAATTTGTTAATTAGGCACAAAAGTCATAGATACTTAGGATAGCTAAAACATTGTTTTCTAAACTTATTCTTTTCTTAATTGTTTTGTTATATTTTTTTGTTATCTGTGCCTCTATGCCACTCTTACAGAATTGTATTGATACCACTTATTTTCAGTTTTATAAAATTGGTTATGAAAATGGATGGGTGGATTTGGTAAGTGAATTACATTGGCTATTTATTATATTCTCGAATAAAGTGTCTATTAAAATGTTTTCTAAGTTGACATTATTTGTGGAGTAAGTGAAATGTCCGTCTAACAAACAACAGACGAGTTTAATGTTCAGTGGTTTGCTCTGTCCTCTTTGATGTCCATGAAACTGGATCTATAAAAGTAGAGGGAATTCCTAGAATACTAGCACCTGATAGTAGGCGTCACTGAAAAATTGCTCACGTACATCGAGAACACAAAGTAGCTTGTCCTGAGGCAAGACGCTGGCGAAACTAAGTAAACTTTATGGGACATGTATTACGTATGCTCAATCATCACTTTTCTTGACAACCACTGCTAAGCAGTGACTACGTGACTTGCAAGTAAGCTAAAGGGAGGACGAATCAAAACATGATATCAGTCCATGCAGTCATTGATTGTTGGACTACGGCGTCTTGGTAGACATATCCTCGTCGACGTCAACGGGTGTTTTTCATCAAGCATCATTATAATTTCTTTAGAGTGTTGTTACCTAAATGAGACGCATTTCATGATTTTTTCAAAACTTTTTTAACTGCAATATCGTCTACACTAAAAGGTAACACTGACGCCTAATCTTTTCAGATCAGGCATTGGCACTCTTTAGATTTTGTTGGAATTTAAAGAACATTCCTATTTAATTTTGTCGTTTTCAGTTAAAGCAGACTAATGTGGAGCCTATAATTAACAAAGAAAATCAAGAAATGTTAATTATACTTCCAAGAGATTATTCAGAAAAAGGGTATAGGGGTATAGCAAAACTGAAAATTGTAAGTCGTCATGTTATTTAATACTTTCAAATTTCAATCATTTCTACAATATATAACTGGATCTATTACTGTTTAGAATTAGTCTATATTAAGTAATTGCTTGAACAAACAAAGCTATATGTAATATGGTGGTGTGACTAAAAAAGGAAGCTTCATAAATAAACTGTACCAAAAATGCCAATGAAAGAGGAGATAGAAGATCTTGGAGTTTTCACAAAATTCAAAATTCTGTGATGGATAGTCTGTACCTCTTAAAGGTATACATAAAAACTGGATAAAACGAATTAATATTTAGTTATACTAAGACGTTCAATGTCGAGAAATACAACAAGGCCAACAGACAGGAGCGAACTTCAACGATCCTATCAAATATTTTTATCAAATAGATGGGTAATCTAAAAGTTAATTACTCAATATTCGTTTCCTCAAGAGGCGTGTTGTCATCCATAGGTCAAAATGCATGTTAATTCTCTCGGTTACCACAATTCGGCAGCGTTATCCAAAAGTTACACACATATCAGTACGACACTAAAATAAAAACAACACGAGTCCCTCAGTAATTTTGTCAAACGGTGCCAAATCATCTACTAATAAAGCCAATCAAATTTTATTGACTGTGACATTCATATTTGAGAAAATCAGTCGATGAACAAATATTTCAATGGTTGGGATCATGAGCCTATTGAAGCTAGATTACCACGGAAAATCTGGAAGCACTGAACGGCTGTTTCGTCTTATTGTGAGGCTCCCCAGTAGTGCACATCCACGATTAACACCGTTGAATGCTAGTCCAGTGTTCTAGAGGTTAAGTGCTCGCTCGCGAGACTGGTAGGTCCTGGGTTGGAGTCTCGCAAGGTGGAATCGTGGGTGAGCAGTGCTGAGGAGTCGCGCGATAGGATAAAACAGCCGTTCAGTGCTTCTAGGTTTTCCATGATGGTCTAGCTTCAATTGACTCATGATGTTAACTATTAAAAAATTACTATAATATCCACAAAAACCTTTCTGAATAAATATTTTTAAAATGGTTTGCTATGTTTTGTTCTTACTTCTCCAGTTACAAATGGTTATAACATATTCCAGATTTATTGAACAAAATTCTTATCAGCAGATAAATTACACTTTCAGTATAAATCAATGTGGTTTTATGGGCAGTGTATGTAACTAAACATTTCAAAGCGATATCTGTAAATCAGCTTCAAGTATCATGAGCCATTGACAGTCACATCAGATATTACTTCAATATTTAAGTTTTTATGTATAAAACTTAATACAATGATATTTCATTTTAAAATTTCCTAATTTCGCTACTTGTTATGATCTGAATCTGTTCAAATGTGACCAAATTCTACACAGTATACTGTCAGCCTTTCGAAATTTTTTAGGTATATAATTAATTTAAGCTCAATAATGAATCTCAAAAATGATCACTCCTCGAGAGAACCCTTAACTGATTTGCATCTTAATCTATGTATGATGTCAGAAAATCACGAATATCAAGCTCAGTAACTCAGTTATGTTATAGTTAAAGTTACTGAGATTGGAAATGCTGTGCACTTAATTATTAACTGATTAATTTATATCAAATAATTACTAGTTTAATACATTCTAATTCGCCTACTGATAGATTAAATAAGTCATATTTAATGCAGAGTAATTTTGAAACAGCTTTTGAATCAGTGGTGAAAACATTAGTTGGTACACAGATAAATGTTCACCTAGTCTTATCTTTTTTACATCAAGCCGTATCAAACCTTCTTTAGTTACACAGAGTTAACAAGGTAGTTGTATCTTCAAGATATGTCAAGTAGTCACACCAGTATCTTTGCAAGTTACTACACAACCAATCAGTAGTTTTACACCTTTTCTTAACATTATATTTTTTCAGCTTTTGTTAACAATTTTATGAAACAAAGTAAAATTGTCTTTTTATTTCTAGCCAATGTTACCATCAGAAACTCTTCAGTTACCAAAGTGGATTATTACACCGAATTTCGATGTGAAGGAAATACTATATTATGATGGTAATGATGAAGTCATTTTTATTGGAACAGGACCTGACTCTAAAAATGCTCATGTTTATTGGTAAGTGGGAATATTTTATTATAGGACTCGAGCGAAGTAAATGTAAAGACAACTAAGTGCATCTGTTGTCGTTATTATTATTAAAACTAATAATCAACATTTAACTGGAAACCATGTTAAAACAAATAAAATATTTCTATCTCACGTTTTTGATGTTTGATTTCCAATTAAATAGTCTAAATTTATAAATTCAGCTATTATATAATATGATGCACTTAACATGCCCAATTCCGATATAAAGAATCATTGGTATCTCACTTTCTGTATGAAATTAAATTTCTACATCCTACCTCATTCAAAATCGTGATGGTGGAAGGAATAATTTTCGTTCTTCATTGGTTTCATGTCATCATGAAAACAACCTATATAAAACCCACACAGAGAATTATCTTACATGCTCAAATAAAACACTGAATAATTAACCATTCCAAAGCAATCTTGAATTTTTGTAGCAAAAGCCTCTTTCCCCTATAGAAGATATTCCTCTAGATTGAGTAAACTCCGTTAATAGGTTAAATTAACATTTAAAGAAAACGTTAAACTTAGAGTTAATTTTAAATATATAGCCTCACACGCTAGTAGTTACCACGGTTTTTGTTATTATATTTGGTAGATAAGATGCTTAATAGTCATACATCTATTAATGAGCCAATAAACAGCTTCATTATCTATTTGGGTGTATTTACAGCACTTTATTTAATACATGACACTTTTTTTCCCCGCTTTTATGCACTTTTCAAGGACTTCTCAATCCATAGGTAATATGACTTGTCTTACTTGTGAAAATGTGAATAATACATATAATTGGGCAGAAGTTCTGTCAAACGGGAAATATTTAGTTCAAGATGTTCGAGGCTCGGGTACTCCCAAAACTTTCCTAAAAAGAATTAATAAGAATTTAACAGAAACGAATAGTAAGTTATATTATATGATTGTTTGATCTCTAGTTATGTATTCTTCCTTTACTTTGCTTTAGTTACGGAACTCATGTTTTACAAAAAACTAAAGTAGAACAATTATCACATATATACCTCTACTTCTTACGTAATCCTGTTAACTTCCATCAACTCATTCTCTTCTTTATCTACCGCCTGTAAACTGATTATTGATATGGAAGCAAAAAAAACATGTAAAACTCATAAACTACTCTCCTAGGCAAAATGTTGTGTTGTAACTATTTCATCAATATATATCAGACTGTACGTATAAAAGTATATTATGATAGAAATAGGAATATTCAGTTAAGTTATTCTCTTTCGGTTGTTTGACGTTGTTAGAAAATTAGTTGAGTATATACTAACATATTTATAATTTACTGACAAAGTGAAAATATGTAATATTCATGCAATACGTATTTTATGAGATGTTGGCATTACAGAAGGACTGGCTAAAGATTCATCTTCCTGAATTGTTGCATTCTATTTCATCGAGTGGAATTATCTTTGTTGTTTCATTGCTTGAAATTCATAAGTTAGTAATGACAGATAATTAAGTGCTGACTTTCATTATATTCTATACAAACTCATTGGAACTATGAACTGTCTACTGGAATAAGATCAATTTTATGATGTTTAAAAGACACCTCATGACCGTGAAGTGGTGTTACATACATTTTCTTCCCAATTACAGTATAAAAGAATCATTGGATCTTATTCATATATTCTTTATTGCAAATTCTGAGTGGTATAAACGCTTATTAGAAACCAATTATAATCGATTTCTGCCCAATTTTTACGAAACGTTTTGGACAGATTCTGGTACATTACATATATTTTCTTTCAACACTTTTTTTCCTATTCTTGCCAAAGATTTCACAGTTACCACAGAAATCATCAAGTACTTTGTGACTAATAGAGTATTTGAAAACTTTGTAAATTCTCATGCACTACCACGTGTTGAATATACAAAACTGAGATTACGTAATGGCACCAGAAATCAAATCGATGTCGAGGCTAAGCTATATTTACCACCGGAACTTGATCCAGCACATATCACTCAATATCCTCTTTTATTATATACGTAAGTTCTTATTAATTTCTATAATTTCTTTAAATGATACAAGTGTTCACTTACTGTAAAGTTATATCTTGAGTATATTACTAACAGCCGATTAAGCTTAGAATGAGGCTTTCCCTGTGAATTCTCGCCCACTGTTTGTTTCTTCACCTGAAGATATCTCTTCAATCGTGATATCCTCTCATAAATCTCAATAAGAGAACAGTAATCAAACTCTAACTACAGAACTTTTATTTCTAGAACTCGAAGTTGTGAAACAATAACCTGCCTGTATAGAAATAATCATGACAGTGGGAACAAATAGTGTAATTAATAAACTAAATGCTAATAGTAACTAATCATACCTTCAGTTATTATCAGTCTGATGATATACATTTCAAAAAAAGGTTACTCAAAGTCTGGTTATGGTAATTCTTAATCCATTTTGAAATTTATGTGTAATGTATCCATTTATCATTCTTTCTAAATTATCCCTTTACTTTTATTTATTTTTATAATTTTCAATTTACTTATTTAATTTTTATTTCTGTTGTTTGTGCAAAACTTCTGGACACTTGAAATCCTAAGACTGTGATTTTGAACGAATATTTACTTTGAGTAAGTGACTATCGTGATTTTCACTTAGCCAACAAAATAAGAACTGATTAAAGACAACATCCTCAAAATAAAGGAATTTTATACTAAGTATTGTAATTCATTCAAACAATTTTAGTTTTTTACAAAATACCTAGTGAAAGAATAATTGACCGACGAACTTAAGTGATTGTAATGTGATCTTGCAAAAATTGAACAGTCACTAGGTAGTCAGAATATAGGTAGCATCAATAAATAACTTTTGACGATCAAACAAAAAACTGAGTAGGCTCCTACCGTAAATTTGCCTTGATCATCAGTAGCATATTTTTTTGCCGAATACCTTGAAAATCTCGACGTGTAGTCGTGTTGTTCAATATGTATCACGCAAACTCATAAACTTTATCCAATACATTTTTTATCACACTATTGTACGTAACCACAAAACTAACTTAACATTTCTGATTACGGTCATTATTATTATTATTGTTTTGAAGTAGAGTATTTTTTAGGAAAAAGAGTCATTTTCAATTCTGGTAACCGAAGTTGTAAACATAGTGATATATTTATAAAATCCCTGTGAGTAGAAGATTGAATTCCCGAGCTTCCTAAACACCCAAACGGGTGGACTACAAAAGTACTTTTGGGGTGTATCAAAGTCACTTCAATACAAAATCTAATAAAAAAAACTGTCATGACTTGATTGTGAAAATTGGAATTAAGCATTAGAGATGTATTACAGTAATAAGTGATGAGGAATCTGCTGGAAAGATCCGGAAAACTCCTCGAAAAAAGGCAAGAAATGCTCTGAAAACACTGAGCAGCATCTTATCCAATCAGTGTTCACTAGACGTTTTACCAGAAACACCTGGAAAATGAAAATCACATGTTGAGCTTCTGATTGGATGATTACTTATACTGCTACTATGTTTAGTAGCATTCCAAAATTTTCGGGAAACCCAAGGACATCTAAAATACCATAATAACACTATATTTTCTGTACAAAATGAACCTTTGGAGTAAAGTGTTTCTTACACATTTCTCACCTTTTCTCTCGTGTTCAAGTCGCTGTGTAGATCTAACCGAGGAGTTACTAGAAGAGCTTAGGAACCAAATTTAACGTTCAACTAGCAAGATTTATCAGTATCATTCTATATAAGTATAACTATTTAAAAATGTTTAGATTTTATCTATGGTGTTCTGGTGAATGGACATGATCTATCAACTATATGTTCATTAAATCATTAAATTCCCACAGCTATAATTGAATATAACTTGATCCATATATTCACAAGAAATATTATGCAAACAAAATAGTATTGAAGTAATTCACACTAACAAGCTCATTTAAAAGAGAAAGGCTGGTTACAATTTTGATTATCAATATCGGGAATTTACAAACCCTTAATAATAAGCTGATGCTAGTTTTAAAATACTTGTGCTTATTTTGGGAATAATATTACAATCATCAGTATGTGAAGTTACCTACTCATAAACCCAGACTACTTCTACAGTTGCATCTTTGTTGGGTTACACGTGATACGCGTGATACTTCGTTGTTGCTTAAATAATTTGAGTGATTGATTGCTTAGGTATGGTCTTATAACGAATCCTCATTTATTCTTTATTATCATTGAGTACTTTCCGATAAAAATGCTGAGGTTATTTCTGAAGAAGGTTAGATCATTTAGGGTCTTCCTCAAGCTAGGATTTAACGTCTATTTATATTATATCATACAACGTACATTTAGAGGTTAATAATTAAAAAAAGGATGATGTAAATAAGAGTTGTTTTCCTAGATCAAATTAAGCAATGTTTTTTGTAAGCCAAACATTGATGGGTATAGATGATAGTTCACCATTATGACAAGCAAGGTCTATGAACTGTTTAATACCATCTCAATAGTCCAAATACCCCAAAGCCTGTAGGTTCCCACCTCAACCCTTGGCGACTTAGGGGATGAACACTAATGATGAGTTCCTTACCATAATAAGACAGTTAACCAGTTCAATCTCTGGTTTCCAGTAGTTAATAAGTTAAAGTCAAATTGTAAATATGTGACTGAATGGAGATTTTCAGCTCATCATTAATCACCACAGTCAACCTTTAATTTCGACTCGAAACAGGAAGTAAGGTGGTTGCATAGCTCAAAATCTGAACTGGACAGAAAACTACTTGAATCGAATCATGATGCTCTTTAAGGTGTGTTTAAATTAGCAAGAATTACAATATACTTGACAAAAATTAGAAAGCTTATTTTATATGGGAAATTATTTTACTGGAAGGTCATTTATGTTTTTGTTACGTCCTTGATCTGCGTACCCACTTTTGTGCAGAATAAGTTGTCTAATCTAGATTAAGACCTTGACGCAATAGGCTGGCTGGCTTAACCTTGAGGCTAGTATGCGTGAGTTCGAAGTGACACCAACTACTTGGGGTAGAGAAAAGAAAACTATCCTATCATCTGTTTGGCTGACAAGCGCGCGCGAGAGAGAAGACCAGTCAACTGGGTTGACACTAAGCCCACGTCAGTTATCTTGACACGAATACTGATATGCATCACATAAAAAGCAAGTTTTGAGAAAACGGAACTGAAAAACGGTTTGAATATTTCATAAAAGTTATTGCTGAATTAGGTCGGTAGTCAAATGTTGAATACCGAAATAATAATGAAATTATCACCAAAATGTGTGCATAAGTTTTTTAGTAACACATGGTCTGTTAATGGGAAAAAGAAATCAACATATCAATAAATCATCATGATAATTTATTCATTACGACATGTATAAATACGGCGAAGGAACCGTAAACCATGGGTTAATGAAACGACTTTGACGGTATATCAAATACGTAATAATTTTTCCGCAATAGGCACTGAATATTTTGTAAATGGTTGTTTTGTAAATGGTCATTCTTAATGAGAATTAGAAAACGTTAGATTTTAATTCCGTTAATTTTAAAAGTCTATTGAAACGGTTTATTGTTTTCACTTGTAAATTATTTGTAGTTCTGTATTTTAAAATTAATTTTTTGGTCGTAATAAAAACTAGTGTGTTTAATCAGTTATGTGTGAATATTGTTAACCGTAATATGAAACCTGAAGTATCTAGACATTATGAATGTAACCATTTTTGACAAGCATTTGAAATATTAATTTCATGAAGTGTAAATGAACTAGCCTACGCCGTCTGACTCAACAAATATCTATCGACACTAAACGTATAAATAGGAATAAGGTCGACTGCATCAATGAACATTTAAAATGTTATTATTATTTGTTTTCCTTATGATAATTACTTTTCCTTATCTATATCTTAATCTTCACATCCTTCATTCCCAATTCCTTGATCGTAATAACCTTGATAACACCCTCCTTATAACATATTACATTCACAGAACAATCTTATTTTTATTATTATTATTATCTTCATTGACAAAATTCCTACTATGGATTTTAGTGACGCAAAATTATTGGCATTTTCAATTGAGCTCGAATGCTATTGTACTTATTGTGTAGTAAAGTGTTCATCCCGACCTTTAATGAATGACCTTTCTAGTTTGTAAATATTGCAAATTGCAAGTATATATATATATATATATATATATATATATATATATATATATATATATATCAACAGATGCAAACGTTCACCATTGTTAACACAAAACATTGTCAGACTCATTAATTCCGTGCCTTATTTTTGGCCTTGGTAAAATATTGAAATTATGGATTTGTAGCTGTCGAGCCTGAAGATGAAGTTATTGAAAACTATTGTTCGCTCAATGGTTTATCATTTTCGCATAATCTATGGGAATTTTTAAGTGCTACAATGTGATTGTTGCAGAAATTAATAGTTATATAGGTGTGCAAATGAATACGCATAGTTCTGGTTTCAGGTACTTTTAATATAAAAAATGACTATAAAATTCTTAGTTGTGTATTCATGAAACGGCTAATATTCTTATTCATTTTTACACTAACTATATGACCTTTAATCGCATTAACCATTTCGATGATGATTGTTTCAACTTGTTTTATAATGTCAGTATTTTATTCATAAATAAGATAATTTTCTCAATTTTGTTTAATTCTCTATGAGCTTTAATCACATTCATCCTTGCAATCATCTTATTATATTCACTAATAAATGTCATCATAAATTTATTGACCTAACGACAAAATAACAATTTACACTATTTTAAAATATTCCTATGAAAATGTACTATTATTATATAGTTTAGAGATGTATTACTAATTATTACATTAGTGTTCATTAGATAACAAAATCTTGTCTAATTTTTCTCAACCTTTATATCTAATAAACGTTAGAAACAAGTTTACGAATAAATGAGCAATAATCGCTTTCCGATTATTCATCTCGAAGGGATATGTAAATGCATTTTACATTAAAAAGTGCTGATTCACTTGATCTTTGCCATAGGAAAAGAAATATTGGGGAAAATTAATTTAAATCAAATTGTGGGTGGCCCTGAAAAGAGCCTTTAATTGTTCTCGCGGTCGGACGGCGTAACTATGATTTATTAATAGCGCCACACATCGGACAGTTCACTGTTCGTATGTTTGGTGACGGGTCGTAAGCACAAAACTTATGAAACATTGCAACGTGAGTCGAGGTTCTTGTTTCAATGTACAACTGCGGTTCTGCCTGCCAGTTCAGCGGCGTTGGTGGTAGTCTACCGTGAAGTTCTTGATAAGCATGGTTATAAAGTGAACTGCATTGTTCCTCAGACATTCGCCTGACTAATGCAATCACTGCATTTTTCATGCTCGGCTGGCTCAATTGCATTGGGAAATAATTCTCAACTGCAATGAGTCAGATAAGTATCAGAGTGTAACCACCTATCACAAATTGACTGTACGTTCACATCAGTAATACTGTGTGAACAGTAAGCCAATATGTGCCGACATGGCAAACCGTTTTCAATGGAAAATGAACAGGAGCAGCGCATGGAATCGCGGTGTACATTGTAAGTGCCTGTTGCGTCCACAGCCGTGAATAAGTCAACAGACATTAGAAACTCCGTAATAGGATTGCGCAGGTGTCGCTTCAGTACTTGACCGTTGGAAAAACAATAGGAATCGAGAAATAAACGTCGATGTTTCGCGACTTATAAATGCAATACAAACGGGTATTGCCATAAAATTCATATCAAGGGCGACGACCTGTTCTCGTTATTCGTCTTGTATGTCCCGTCCAAACCAATAACATCAGAGAAACGATCTGCCAAAATCCTTTGATCACCAGTCGTGAAGAAAAAATACGATAGACAGTTATTATCGTCTAATTCGTATTCTCAAAGCCCACCCAAGGATGTTATGTGAGCTTTCAATTTCCCCTAATCACCTATAGTGTACATTATAAATTGGCAAGTTGCTTACCAGGAAGGTTCGCGTGTGAGAACACTTTGTACCGCATATTATAGATATCTTGATCATTCAGTAGTTTCCCATAAGAATGATAAGCATAATTCTTAATGTGGAATGAAGCAGTACCAGATATTAGCAGCGGTCGCACATTTTCAAACTGGGCCTCTGTTAACCTGCGCACCCATGAATTACCTTGGTACCTCAGGGAATTGCACTCGTGATTGTGATGCACATTCCCACGTACAACAATCCAGTAGCCGTCGATAATCTTACAATACATGAAGGCCGGACACTGAGTGTTCATGGAAGTCCTTCATGACAAAAAATGTTAATAACATTAATAAAATTACCTCCTCCGTCTGATCCGCTGTGACGAACCGCTAGATGTTATACGGCCATGTCTCCAGCACACAAATTTAATGTACGAGTTTTCATTTCTGCACAAATGCGAATCTCGAACTACATAATGACAGTAAGTTGATCTTTCATAATTTGTGATAGCGGACTTCAACGCTTCAACCGATGGGAACGCAACGAGAAACAAAGTTGTCAAAAAGACTTCCCCCATTTCTGTTACGTGAGAAACAACAGCTCTTGTACTAGGCACGTTACTCTCCTCCATAATTATGATTAAAATGTACTTCGTCGACAAGTACTGATGTTTTATAACAATCCGACAAAACATAACTAACAAATTAAAACGAACTTTAAAACTAGCCATTTCATTGGACGAAACGGGATGAAAAATATTGCAATTTTGGGTTGAAAAAACATTTTTAAAAAGGGTGGGTGGGTTTTTTTTAAAAAATTGCCGTGGGGCTAATGAATATCGAGGCTAGACCACCATGGAAAACACGGTTGGATGCCGGCTCAGTGGTCCAGTTGGTTAAGCTCCTGGCGCGAAACTGGTAAGTCCTGGGTTCGAATCCCGCGAGATGGGGTCGTGTACTCAAACATTACCGAAAGTTTGAACTTCTTAGTCTTGGTTAGAGAATAATCTACAAATATATTCATGTACGCAAATAGCTTCTATTTATATGTGATTGGCAAATCATGCAGCATGCTTTATAATGTTTAAGCCAGCTGCTCAATATAAAAAATAGACCGAAACAGATGGGTTTATTTCTTATCCTTAAATAATTCCCTGACTTCCATACTTTTAAACTCACGTAAATATAGATTTTCATATTCAGAAAATTCTAATCAAATCATTTACCTTTTCATTTCCTTGTAAATAAAAATAAACAGTTATGGTGGACCAACACTTCAAGTCGTAACCTCAGCTTTTACAATTGACTGGTTAACATACATATCAGCAACTGCGAAAGTTATTGTCGCTCAAGTTGATGGCCGAGGTACAAGTGGTCGAGGAAGATTTTATGAGCAGTCAATCTATAAAAATCTAGGTGTGATTGAAATTGAGGACCAGCTGGATAGTGTCAAGTAAGATTGATATAATATAGTGAAATTCATGATTATTGTTCTTAATAAATACTGACATGAGTACAATTGACAAATGTAAGTCATCAAACTGGCATTTTCTTATTTATCACAATGCGTATTCACTTGATAATTTGACATAACAAACGCTAAAACGGGACATTCGGTGTTACCTATGAAGCGATAGATCATCATACTGTCTCACGATATCAAAATAAACAAAGTATTTCAACAAGTCCCTTCAAATATTTCAGCATTTCGTTTTAATCACAAACATTTACCAGACATTAAAAATTAATGTATGAGATTTTGTACCGTTAAAGAAAAGTCAAAAAGTTTGTTAACTTTAATATAATTACAGAATGTTTTATTTAATGCTTGTACACCATAATTTGTGATATTAACCTGAATATATTAATTGCATATTTTCACATCGAATTTACTAGAAACTAGTGAGAATATTTGGAGATAGAGTTAAATGGTTGAGACGAAACACTTAATAAATTGACTGATTTAATGTATTCTGATGTGGTCATTAGTAGCTACAAAATAAAAGCATATGATACAGTTTATTTCACTCATCTATAGGGACTTATAAACTGCACACAATTTCCTTTGTATGCTAGCTCGGACTGAAATGAATATTTATTTTTAAAACTAATAACTACAAAAAATGTGCTCATACCTCAATGTTTTATACATCCTCGTTATAATTCAGAGCTTTAATTCGACGTTTCCATTACATAAACGAAAGTCAAGTTGGTGCTTACGGTTGGGTAAGTGATTTGATGCATTTTATGCTTTAAGGTTTTTTTATGGAGTGAGCTGTATAGTTTTAATACGGTTGTAAAAGTCAATGAATAAACTTTTCAATGGATTTGAATATCAGTCGTTCTCTAAATGACGGAACTCATCATAATGTATCCTTTACAGCTTAAGGAAACATAAATTACAGTATTAATATGAAGCATTTGACGTTTATAAATATAACTGTAACGGATAGACATACAGAGCACGGATACATACTGTAGTGGAATCACAATTCGTCAGTCATGTTCAGATATTGGTATTATTTAGACGAGCTGAATTTTTAGATAACGTGATAAGAAAACGAATTAAAACTGGAAGATGTTCAACAACTTAGATAATATTGATTTCATTATATCTTCATGAAGTCACTAATAAATTAAAAATATGAGATATTATTCCTGACACTCATGAAATAAAAATGCGAAACACAGCTTATAGTTTAATTAACTTTTATTACCAGGGTAGGTTTAAGGTGAGAACAAAATGTTTTTGAATGCATAAAGTGGGTTTGAATTTTCGTATGGCTAAAGCTCCAATAAGCCTCAGTATACGCCCTTTAACACTTTTGTGCAACATCATAAAAACCGAGTTAAGATCATTCTTATGTTCTGTTTCAACTATATTTTTGGCAGTAGAGAATGATAGATGTTTATCACCTACTCTTATTGAGCCATTTAATTTTCTTTGTTTTTGCAACCATTTCGGTGCATATTCAAACACCCTAATTTGGAGATCATATTCTTATTGCACTATCCAAAGAGTTTAGAGTTTTTGAAAATTATACTGGTCACTGAGGCAAGTTTTTTGGAAATATTTGTGTAGATAGATACTATTAAAATTTCAGTTAGTATATTATTAACCGAGATTAATATACAACATTTAAAAGTGATGGTACATTAGATATGTATCAGGTTGCTAGAAAAGTGCATCTCATGCAGACGTTAAATGTCAATTAAGTATAACTTGGTAAACGATCTGTGTACAATATATAGCATTCATTTTTCTAGTTCAGTGATAATAATTAATAAAGATTTCCACTGTAACTATTTGTTTTTTTTAATGAATTTTATTTCATTCTGTTAAAATTAAAGTCTTATGGTGGATTCACAGTTAGTCATTTGCTTACCAGACCTGAAAATCAGTGGATTCGGTGTGGAATTTCTGTCGCTCCAGTCAGTGATTTTAGATATTACTGTAAGTATGAAAAATGATATTAAGTAATTCATTTAGTTTTCACTTAATAACAGGTCCAACATCATTTACTTAACCGGTTGTACCGGTGACTGAATTGAACACATAAACAAACTTCATAGAAAGTTAGAATAGTTGTTTTCTGAAACATATCTAGATATTCGTGGTAATTCCGTATTAAATGTTTGATTTTATTGAACATGTATTTATTTTTGTTGCCAAAAGTCATAAGGCATTTTTTAATGAACCCTTCTCATTTCCCTCAGAACTGTAAGCATTTCTTATAGTAATTTGAACAATAATTGTTAATCGATTGACTGAACAAATGTAACCGAAAATTATTTCGAAAGCGAATGAGATATTGGTTACGGTATACTCTGTTGGTCAATTCAGAACTTATGACTAATTGTCGTTGGAATCGACTACGTTAAATGATGTTAGTCAGGGTTATCCGCTTTCCACATTTTTGTTTGACATTGTCATAGAAACCCTTTTAAAGATAACGGTTCTGTCTCCAACTTTTCGTGGTTTGATTCATCTGATGACTTAGAATATAGTTCCGAAAAGTGCAGTTTTCTGACCGCCTTTAGCAACAAGCCACGTATGTTTGGGATGTGATTCTCTGGCTTCAAACGCGAACTGTTGTTTCACCATTGACCTGAGTCGGAGTCTGACTCAATGATAGAGAATTTAGTAGTTGAGAGTATAAACCGTCTTGCTTATCTTAGGCGTCTTATCAGTGCCAATTATCTGGTGTCTGGCGAAAGCTTGAAAAGGATTCAGAAAGCTTGATCGACTATTACCAACTTCCATTACTTGTGGCACTGATGAGATGTCCGTCTGCCAACCAAATGACCTGTTTACTGTGAATCAGTTTGCTCAATTATACTTTATGGGAGTAAAATATGGCCATTGAGAACAAAAGATATTAGTACGCTACTAGTATTCGAAGCGTTGCTCGCGTATTTTTGGACCACCGAGTAAGCAGTGCCCGGATCAGGAATAGAGTACCAGATAAAAATGGGAAATCGATCAATATAGTAGTAAATCTTCATCAACTGAGGTGGTTGGTGTATGTGTTACGTATGCCTAACCACCACCTACCTCGGTGGGCGATGTTGTCTGACGTAGGAGTAGGTTGAAAGAAAGGTAGAAGCGACCAAACCAAAATATGGAGTCAGTCCGTGAAGTCATCAAAAATCGTATAGAGACATGTTAACAAGTGTTAACTTTCAATTGGTTGGGGTCTACGTTATTTTCGTAATCAACTGTTAGCGAATTTGAATGGCATAGATCAAAACCGTTTGCAATATCCCAGAAATATACATTCTCGATTTTCCGCAAATAATGAGCCTCTGAATTCCCCATAATTTTTTGTTATTTCACTAATTTATCTATTCCTGAACCGTATCTTCAGTGCCAATTTTTTCATCACTACTCATACTGTTACTACCTCTAATATTCTGGGATTTGCCATAGCGGTTTTATATCGCTGTGCTAATATGGTATGATAACTGAAAACCGCTGTAGATACGCATTATGTTCTACGTTGCGACTAACTGAATATTTTCAGGTTTCAATAAACGAAGATACACATTAACGTTTTTCAAGATTAATCTTAAGTATTACAATGTATATTTACAGTATTCATAAAAGTACTTTTATAATGCAAGCGCTTATGTTAATGATAATTATCGTAACATATGTCAATTTATATAGTTGATGTTCGTCGGTTTTTTTCTTTATAGTGAAAATTCCCATTTTGCCATTTGGTAAATAAAGAAGGAACGAATTGAGCGAAGAAATTTCTTTTCAATTAGTTTTTCATCATGGCTCTACACTAATATATATACTTTTTACAATAATAATATAATACTCATCGAGTGAATACGTTACGTAATAATTACATAATGACATTTAAATTAACATTAATTAATTGGAAGAAAGAGGATTATTAATATTCAAAGTGATCAAGAAGTTGCTAAGTTGCGTAATGTAAGAAACAAAGAAGGAACAGAATTTTAACGGATGGTCAATAGGATGGTAGTTACGTAAGAATCAAGAGATGAATGTTGAGAAGTTATTAATTTCAAAAGCAACAGAAATAAAATTACAAAAGTTTAAAAATTACAAAAATTACAAAAGTTTTAAAAAATTAAAAATGGAAGAAGTATGAAAAATAGTTCTTTTGAAGGAAATCTTAAACTGATGGCCAGGGCAGGGAAAGTGGTTGTACGAATCTCTTTTGTATGCAAAGGTCAGGTTTGTGAACATGGATTGCGATGGCTTCCGGAATGTGCAAGAGGCGCACTCGTAAACCATGTGGCAAATTAAATGGGATACTGTAGATAACCTTAAAAGCTTTATTCAATTCGACTTGATGATCTGTGTCAACCAAGTGAGAGAGAATAGAACTTTTAATCACTTTTACCTGTCCTTTGTTTAACCACGACGGATGATGTTCAGTAATGCGATGACGATGTAATTTTATTTCTGTTGCTTTTGAAATTAATAACTTCTCAACATTCATCTCTTGATTCTTACGTAACTACCATCCTATTGACCATCCGTTAAAATTCTGTTCCTTCTTTGTTTCTTACATTACGCAACTTAGCAACTTCTTGATCACTTTGAATATTAATAATCCTCTTTCTTCCAATTAATTAATGTTAATTTAAATGTCATTATGTAATTATTACGTAACGTATTCACTCGATGAGTATTATATTATTATTGTAAAACGTATATATATTAGTGTAGAGCCATGATGAAAAACTAATTGAAAAGAAATTTCTTCGCTCAATTCGTTCCTTCTTTTTTCTTTATCTCCATTTATACTTGTGTTGTTTATTCGTTTAGCTACTGCATATACCGAACGATATTTAGGAAGATTTATTGATGACCCAGATGCATATTCTGTAAGTCACTTGACATTTAAAGTTTAATAAATACATAGCCGATTTAAATTGAATAATGTATATTTATTTATTTTCCATGAGATATTGTGTCAATTATTCGTTAGTATGAATAAAAAAGATACATCATATCAAGATTTCACATAATGATCGGAAACTCTCCAGTATAGTATTACTTATGGCATACAGTATTTAAGCACGGTACTGAATATTTCATTCCCGTCACTACAGTCAGTTATCCGTAGTTATTGGATATGAGGTTTGTAGATGAGGAACGTCTATGAAGGCAGCATAGTGACAATGGCTGATGCTGACTATCAACTCAAAAATAATAAATTAAATCTGCCAGCTAACCTCATCGTTGTTATGGACTAAGCTGACTAGATACTCTGTTTACTGTGAGTTATCAGAAGGACTTATTTGTTATTTCAATGAAATTCATGTTTCCTTCAGCTAGAATAACAAAACAATTATAATTTAAATAAATCTAATAACAGAATATGTATTATTCTGGCTGATTTTGTATAGAGAGGTACCTAAAATGCAGTTTAAACATTTAATATAGCAGTCCCTGTGATTTGTTTGTCAGCCGTAGTACTGTTTGTATTTTGCTGTCCATATCTCTGTCAGACACACTGATCTTGATATAATTCAATTTTGACTAATCATTTCTTTAAGCAATAAGTGAGTGGGAAATGATGCTCTACTTAGATTTGATATATGAACAGAATGCAGTCAATACTGGTGGTAATTGATCGGAAAATTGGTACTGATTTGTACTTTAATATTCAGCATATAGGTTAAATGACAGAAATTGACCAATTTATGGTCTTCATCATTTAGTCAATTAACTAGTTGATATTTTCCATCATCTGCTGTTTGGATAATAGTTAACTTAAATGAAACATTAACAGACGCTTAAATCTCGTTGTTTAAAAGTTTACGTTGTTTTGCTAAAGTACACAAATTGTGACTACCGGCTTTTCGGGTCTATTTATACCAGAAGATCTCCTGTATTTCAAACTAATACTTCACAATGAAAGCTGTCATGTCTACCAAATTTTAGTACACCGTAAGTATTTTAATTGCGGTGAAAGCTCCGAAAGTTACTTCACTCATCAAACGTAGATGATATTAGGTGGAATAGTAATTGCTTCGAAACTACGTGACCGTGTAGCTATGTACACAATGACAAACATCAATAATTACACTACATATTCAAATTATGTACTTATTTATTCTACTGCATCCAACATTCCTAAAAAATATCGACCGACGGACACCCATAATCTACATAGCACTCCTGTCTTCAGGAATTATCTTTTTCTAATCAGGTACTTCACAGAACCAAAGAGTTTTTGCCAAGCATTTTATTGGCATCAGAAACATTGTTTGATTATCTCCCAATACTTAAACAAAGTTTGGGTACAACTGCATTCGAATTACAAACGAACTGATAAACTAAATCAGATTTCAAATTAGATAAGATTTAATTTAATATACCTCATGTGTTTCACTGGTTATTTCCTTCAGTACATTTTTTCATGCAAGCATAGTTTTTCAATTTTCAATCTTTCAGCGTACAGTTATTAGAAATCCTAAGAACATGGCATCCAAAGGATTTTTATTAGTTCACGGAACTGCTGATGGTAAGCATTTCTAAATGTGTATTCCATTATAAATTTGTTATTCCATGTTTTGCTCATTTAATATACACTTCTATGTGATAGTACATTTGTTACAAAGAGAATATAACAACAAGAATGATAGTAGGTGTGAACTCTTATGTATGTGATTGGAAGCTAAGTGTCATGCTAAACAAAAATTGATTTTCTACAGTTGTTACGTAGCTATAAAAATGCAAAAAGTATTTACAAAGTTAAATTTTGCTAACTTTAATACACTTATCCATCTGTGATGAAGGATATTTTAAACAGAGTTTATAGTCTAACTGTCATTTCAATTTTTTACATTATGGCATTGGAGTACAGTAGAAGCACTGATATGCCTTTTATTACTAAATTTTTACGTAGTCCAAGTTTCTCCATACCACACGTTAGCATTTTCTACATCTTATTGAACCCTGATTTTACACACTTATTATTTCAAACTTACCTGCTTAACTTCTCTGAATATTAAATTCATTACTAGTTTTTTAAACGTCTACGTATTATTTACTTTACTGTTGAGTTCAAACAGTCATCAGCATTTCAGACCATACTAATGTTGTTGTGTGGTTTAATGACATTACGTGTTTTTGATATCTAAGATTGTATATGATCATTCTTAAATAGGCTCAAGTGATAGATCAAGGCTTAAATTTCCATTTAAAAATTTATCCTGAAATCTGATAGTAGGATTAAGTGTAAAGCATAAAATTAATTTTCGGCACTGCTCACTCTGGTGATCATGAATACAATATCACTAAAGTCTGGGAGAACACAGCAATTACACCTGAAGGTATTATATTGTAATTTGAATTAGGCATGTAAAAATTTAAGCTAAAACAACATATTGTCGAACTTATCTGTCAAGCTATAATCAGATCAAAATGCACATCTTAATCGCTACTGCTCGTTACATTACAAAAATTTAATAAGATCGTGTATCTAAAAGTAATATGGAGCCATGCGCTCAGGAACATCATATGCTGATAGAAAATGCACAAATGCTGTCCTGAATAAAAATAATGTAATTATGCAAACCTTTACCAACAAATACACGTTTATGGTTGACAAAGTACCTTTACCATCAGAACTATCTAGAAGAATTTTCACAATTCCTTCACAATAAGTAATCAGTCAGCAGCATACAAATAGCTCCTCTGACCATGATAGTAAGTGGTTAGGGTTCAAATCTCAATTTTAAATATACTGTGGTGTGTGCTATTTATATTTATATAAGTAGTAAATGATTTTAGTCGTGAACAGAAGATCTGGCAGCAGAAACAAGGGTATCGAACAGTAAAGAATGGAAACAGAATGTAATTTATATGAAAATGCGAGAACAATCAAGTCTGAGTCATTTTGAGACAATTGGTGGACATTTTGCAAATTAAGCATTTACTTTATGATTGTTATATTTTATTAACCAGTCCTGTAATTGGGGATCAAATACGTTAGATTGTCCCCACTGATGTTCTTGTTCACTACAATACCTCTCTGACATGTATCAAATTACCGTACGTCTAGCTATTGGACATCAGGTTAAGTTGCGTTTAACGTTGAATCATTTAAATTAATGACAAGATTGTAACATGATTGATATAATTCTTTTGTCACAAAGAACTACGTAAATACTCTATAAATTAACTGTTAAGGGTTTTTGGAGGTCATTACATTTTATCGTTTCCAATTCAGGACAAGTGTAACTTATTTATGTCTAATGTGAAATAGTTACTCACAGTTCACGACGAAAGATTGTTGCATAATATTACGAACTGACTGAAAGTAAATATGTAAACTATCGGATTCCGACCAAATGATCTGAAAATTAAGGGTTCACCAAGAGACCTGTATTTCTTTAACATGATCCGCGGTCATAAATGCTCCTAACCAAGGGGTCCCATACTATGGCGAAACAGCTATCCAATACTTACTGTTCTTCAATCGTTGTCTAATCTAAGTTAATCTCTGATGTAAAATAAAGAACTGCATTAATTACTATTGAATAATCAATGTATATATTTACTTTTAAAAAATTCTAAACATATTTCCGAAGTAATTAAAAATTTTTCAGAAACTTGAGTTTACTCATATTCCTCAAACATTATAAATATATATATATATATACGTATTCTCTTCGCTGTTTTGTATGATTTTAATAGACAATGTCCATTTTATCAATACTGCTAAACTGACCAAAGAGTTGATAGATGCGGGGGTAGATATTGATTTAATGGTAAGTAATCCTTTATGTTTCTGAACATATTCGTTTTCGCTTTCATTTTTTGTATAGTAAATCATTTAAATGTAACTGAGAGGTTAAATAAGAATATATAAAGCTAATAAAAACGCTAATAAAAACGATAAAAACTAGGTGGAAGAGAATACTTATTGATTTTGAGACGAGTGTGTACAAAGTGTTTGAAATCATGAAATTTACCCTCCCACTAGATGTTGTAGGTGTTTTTATTCTTCATGAAATATATGTGATGTGAGGAAGCATCAAACAGAGTATTTTCTATTTCAATAGTACTTTTGAGTTATAGGATATTGTTGTATCCCGATGAGAATAACGGGTGGCAACTGTCGGAATCTATTTCTGGACAAATACTATACGTATACTTTTATCATATAATTGATAAGTTACAAAAATATTCATATTCGTGTTCCTCTGATCATAAGTTTTATTTTGACCTATGAATTATTATACGATTTGGTATTTCTCAGTTATACCCAGTTTATCAATTACTATCTCTCACATTCAAAGCCACAACTGGATAAATCTTGTACAAATGCTATTTTCTATTTTATGGTAAGGTGTGGTCTTTTTGGTTTGTATATAAACCCAGTATATTAAAAAACATGATTCATATCGCAGAGGCTGAGATTGGTGTTCTGGACTTAACAGGCGGGGCTAAGCATCATTAGTTCGGTCGAAAGTTCGCTGTTCTTTAATTGACGGTAACATTACGTTATAGGGCACAAGGCCACAAGTTATAACAGATGTACTGACTGATTTCCTAATTCTTGTAGATTCGTAATCTATATGATACTAAATTAATTTGAATATCTTTCTTATAGTTTCCATCCAACAAATTCTTTATAATACTGATCTGATTCAATGATGGCTTTTTTAATGTTTACTTAGATTTATCCAGATGATGATCATTTTCTATCGAAAGGTAGAAATCTTGAAAATTTATATCGTAAAATGACCATATTTCTACTTGATTGTTATAATAAAACATCAGTAAAGTATTCAATGGATTTATCAGTTAAAGATCTTTCAGAATAGAAAGAAGAAAAAAAGGACAAATGATGGAACAATCAGTTAAACAGATATACAGTCATCAAAACACGATAACTAAATTTTGTTGTTTAAATATAAGATGGCTTACTGTTATTTCTTATTGTATTATTAAGTAAATCATGTGTTAACATAGAAAATCTTGTATCTTAGTACTAACAAGAATCAATTTTCAATGATTATCCTGAAAGCCAATTCTGAAATATGTAAATAAAATATTAATTCATTAAAAGTTGTGTAATTTTCATTTTCTTGAATATTCTTATTACTCTCCAAATCAACTAGTTAAATTCTAATGTTTTTTATTTACCTAATAATGTTATGTAATAAAGTTCACCTAGAAGGAGTATTTATTTGAGAAATAAAAAATGAACACTAATAAATTAACTCTATTATTTCGTATAACGCATATATAATAGTTTATACTTGATTTGTATTTTAATTTTCTACTCTTTACACATTTTATTATTGACTACGAGTTTCCTCAATACTATTATTTATACTAATTCCCATTACTTACTTGTTAGAATACTGATTTAAAGTAATATTTTCATGCTTATTTTCTCTCATCCTTTCAAAAGATTATCATTCTCTTAAAAAATCATCTTGTTCTAATCAATAATTTTTCAATGGTTGAGATCACAAGTCAACTGAAGCTAGTCCATCATGGAAAACCTAGAAACACCGGACGTCCGTATTGTCCTCTTGTGGGACTCCTCAGCAGTGCACATCCACGATTCCGCCTTGCGAGACTTCAACACAGGACCTATCAATCTCGCGCGCGAGCACTTAACCAGTGCCTCCGGGTTTTTTATGGTGGTCTAGCTTCAATTGACTGATGATCTCAATTATTGAAATTACTATAATATCCACAAATCCCCTTCTGATATTATTCAACATATGCTCACTAGTGACTGGCTTCAAGAGGTATTTCCTGGAGTTCTAGTGAGAAGTAGTGACCAATGGGATCTAACCGGGCCTGTTGTGAGATAGTAACTCACTGAAGACAATGGTGGATGTGTCGTTCAATGTCGTGGATTAGTTGAAGTTAGACAATAACACCGTTGGATGCCGCCCAGACCAGTGGTCTAGTGGTTAAGCGTTCGCACGCGACACAGATGGGTCTTGGGTTAGAATCTCGTCGGTCGTAATGGTGGATGTTCACTGCTGAGGAGTACCACTATAGGATGAAATAGCCGTCCAGTGCTTCTAGGTTTTCCATGATGGTCTGTGTTTAATAGACTCATGATGTCAACTATTGAAATTACTATAATATTCACGAAAGCCTTTTCGATAATTTTTCGTTTGAAAATGATTGGTTAGGAATGACCTTGAATGATATTGTTTCCGTAAATATTAATATATTTATAGTAAATAGACATGCATAGATAAAATAATAATAATAAACAGTTGTGAACAAATAAACACGTGCCAAACAACCACTAACATTGATAAAGCTATTGCTAGCCTCAATCATGATGTCATTTGATCTTAATTTTCATATCATTATGAATGATATGATTATTGATATCATTTAAAACAACCGCATTTTTTATCACTACAAGAGATTTGAGACAAGGATTTGATGATAATATTATAACAACTACTTGCCCATATAGACATCAGTGTTATTCAGTGAAAATATTACTTGATCATCATTAGTACAAATGATAACATTGTATTACGTTACGCTTTTATTTCTAACCATACTTTATTACCTGATAGAACCATTTATCAAGAAAATTTCGCTATGAATCAATGTTCTATAAACAATCATCATAAATCAGGTTTAGTGTCTGAACATCTCAGGTAACGTTTGTATGTGATCAAGTATGCTCACTTCCAGTGAGCCATATATTTAAATGACATAGAATTATTCAACGCTCTTTGATTTTATCCAGTTGACATTAGCATAAACTGCGGGAAATTTCCTTTAAATTGTATAAAGATTCTGTTTCAATCATCCTACCTAATAGTTGACCATTCACATGAGCATTCTGGCCCTAAAATGCCCTGGTACGGCCGAGAGTGGGGAGAGTCCGCTCTCCCTCTCGAAATGCTCTCACATGGCCACGCGTATATAGCCTCTGCTAGGGAATTCCTAATCATTGCCTTCTCGTGGTGTGGGTGTTGTCTACGAAATTGAGAGGACGGAAAGCAAATGTCCGGAGCTTTAATCGGGTTGGTGGACATGGAGGGTCCACCTAGGGGAGTCGGAAAACCCTGATTCCAAACCAATGGTGTATATGGGCTCCAGTATCCTGAAGGAACAAATGACGTATGAACCAATTGTTGATCACTGGCTAGCATGAGTCTGCATCTTCTTACGATGCTCCATTGCCTTGTGGATCAGACCTTTATGTCGGAGGCTCCGTATGTGGCCCTCTAAGAAAACTACATACTTCGGTCTGGGCATCCAGGCAGTATCACAGCCTACACACATATCAAATGAGATTTGTCTGGCCCATATGTATTTAGTGTTTCCTTGTACTAATATCTATGTGTTCAAATAAATAAGTAATAAATAAATGAACATTCTGAATAAGAATTTTATATTTAAAATAGGAAAATTTCATGTTTGACTGTTAGCATTATTGATTCCGTTGTTCACTCCCTTTAATTTCTCAAATCTGTATTGTATTTATTTAATAACAGGATTAATGATAGATTTGTAATGTTCTAATGAGTAGAAAATTAAATTCCTAGCGTTTTTCGACATGTACTCAGCTTCTTCAGAAAGCAAATAAACAAATGAAATAAATTAGCATAATTTCAAATAATACAAACGAGCAAAACAAAAAGTATTTAGTTCAGTCGAAAACAAATCTGAAATATAGTTCAATTATCGTATATTGATCATGTGCTTCTGTTACTTTTATTTATCCACATTTGGTGTAATAATCTTGGTGGGTTTTCTGGATAAATTTAAACCCAAAGAAAGTTTTGCACTGAATGAATGTGTTGAATTGAAGTTGATAATATCGATTAGGATGTGCTCATTCATAAATTTGAATAAAAATTGGCGTTCTGCTTGGAGTAAATATGAACTAAGAATACGTTTACAAATTTAGAAAATGTTTTTAACACTGTCTTTTTGATGATAACAAAAGTTTCACAAACATCAAAACAGAATTCGTGGCCTGGCGTCATTTGCGGAAATATTTGACTCGATTATATGAAATAGGTTGACTTCAATCGAAGACAAGCGGAAGCTCATTCCAATTATGCTTGCTTGTTTGTATAACGTCCCTTTAAAAGTGAGTAAGTTTGAGTTCAAACATAGTTCCATGGACTTCGTAATCTAAATGATCTCTAAACGACGTCTTTCTAACTTGTGATCATTCTTTAGCAACTCATAAATAAGCCTTAGACCGCCGTCAAGTGGAATAATATTGTTCAAATTCACAACACCATAACTTACCATTGTTTCATTGTCTTCATTAGAGGATTCCGATATTTTGGATTTGAATTTACAGAAGTTTTAATGTAAGTTTTGTTGTTTTGGCTATAACATACTGACCAGATATTTGGACAGTGCATTAGTAAGGGCGTTTTTGTAGCTCACTATAAACCTTAGTGAAATATAAGGCTTATAAATTTCAAGTAAAATGTAATGGGGTTATATGATGCATGACTTACGATTAACATAAGCATATGAAGAGTCCGATGAACGGCTTAATTCCTTTAAAAGTTTACCTGTCACTAATTTTGTTCTTAACCGTCTAAATATTTAGTGGATCAATCTTATGATGCAGTCTCGTGGATAGGTATCTAAAAGCTTTTTCATCATAAGCCATTTTAGTCATGACTGTTGTTGTATTACTTTCGTCAGCATTAACTATTCAAATTCTTACGTCTTTTTATAGTGAATGTAGAGATCTCAATCCTTCTTGAAAGATACTATGTGGAAAGAGTTTTGTTTTTCAAAATGTGGGGTGTTTTCAACTTTATATATGTAACTCTTTTTCCGACAGTTTTCCGATTAATAATTCTAGAATCTGAACAATTTCTACAGCGCTAAGTGACTTTCTATGCTAACTGAAATATAGTCCTTTCTCTAATAAGAGTGATATCATGGGTATTTAGGTTTTTGACTTAGAGATTATCAGTAACTCTCACATAGTCAGAACATAAATTTATTGAAGTTATATTTCTGTTTTTAAATCGTCCAGTATGTTTTTGTCAGTCAGGATTTCGACGAATTCAAATAATGGTGTTCGCTTCCAATAAAAAGGCAAATATCAGTTTGCAATTTGATAGGAACTATAAAACTTATTAGCTCACTGGAAAATTCCCATTATATTAAAACAAAATTGTATGAACGAAGAATATTCTTTTCAATCATTTCTCATCAGGTTCTACAATTATAAATCCAAATTAATAATCCGTAAAATTGGACAGATTTAAGGCAGCGTACATCATTTGGAAATTGTAATATGTGAATTGAGAACTGTTGTTTGTTATAGATCATCCAAGTTATCGAATATTCAGTTGTATTGTTTTCAGTAAATAGTTTGTTTAATTTAATTTTTAACTCGTTCGGATGTTACAAATAAATCATTCGTTTGATTATTAAGGATCTACCCAGTGTTTAGTATATTTGTAATTATCAAGTCAAACATCGTTTATTACTTAGCAATAGGGTTTACTTGTGAATTTCATTTTTGGGATTGGCATGTGAAAGTTAGGGAGACAACACACATTCGAAGTATTAACTATCTCTCTTATTAAAGATCGCCTTATTTTACTCTATACACGATCAAGAAAATCCACACTTATTTCCGAATAAGTTATTTATGCCTATTTAAACTGGAATACTGTTGTATCCCGATGAGAATAACGGGTGGCAACTGTCGGAATCTATTTCTGGACAAATACTATACGTATACTTTTATCGTATAATTGATAAGTTACAAAAATATTCATATTCGTGTTCCTCTGATCATAAGTTTTATTTTGACCTATGAATTATTATACGATTTGGTATTTCTCAGTTATACCCAGTTTATCAATTACTATCTCTCACATTCAAAGCCACAACTGGATAAATCTTGTACAAATGCTATTTTCTATTTTATGGTAAGGTGTGGTCTTTTTGGTTTGTATATAAACCCAGTATATTAAAAAACATGATTCATATCGCAGAGGCTGAGATTGGTGTTCTGGACTTAACAGGCGGGGCTAAGCAGGAAACAGGATCGATAAGTATCTATACTGCTCATGCAGGTTTTATGCTTCGTTGGTCCAGTCGATAAATTACTGTTCTTCAATTGGCGGTATTATTACTTAACACATTGATACCGGCACAAATCCACAAGTTATAACAAATACAGCCAGATTTTGCTATGTGAAGTCAATCGTTTTTGTTTACAGTTTTAATAATATTGAAAACTATAATGCAAATTGAATGTTTGGTGAAAGAACTCATTCTATCTATGAAACCTGAAGAGGATTACATTCTGTTAAGTATGGGGGACTTTTCTCATCCCAGTCACTAAACGTACGCCTTGATTTGTTAAGTTACTTTATTTAAATGCAGCAGACGTATCTTAAAATTAGAGTTTTTTTATTTCTCCGATCCTCATGAACTCCTTAATACCTAAATAAGTAATACCACATAAGATGCAGTATATTCTATGTGCAATATTTGAATATATATTCTTTACAGTTCATATTCACTGGTTTCCATAATTTCGGAAACATTCAGCTCAATATCAAATATTTACAGCAACATTATTTCGTACTTATTTAGCTCCCAATGTTTTCTATATTTTGGCTACCTGTTCCCGACCATAGTTTATTTCGTGAAACGTTTAAGGTGTAATTAGGCGATAAATATACTACTCGCAAATTCTGCTGACTATTACCCTTCAAATGTTTGATATTGGAATATGCTGAGTATTTTCAGGCTCTTTAGTTAACTTAGATTTTTTTAAAAAATAAATGAATCCTTCTCTTTACAACGTGAACTTATTTCATTGCCTGACTGATCTGGTAATAACACATAAATCATTTACTTCAAAGTCATAAACTGATAGGCCTTTCCCTAAACTCTATCTGAACTTATTTGTCGAAAAGGGTATATCGTTAAGAATTAACAACTACATTACATTTCAAAAATATTTTTAAGGATTGGAAGTATATGTTGTAATATGAATATAGTGTTTACTATAGTTATTCACTGCGTACTCTAATAATCGCGGATGAATTAAAAACTCTCTTCAATCTAGTGTACTGTAATCAGGAGTGCTAAGTTGTACATTAATAAAACAATTAACATTTTACGCAAACACCATAGTTTTCAGACTGACGTTTGCAGTTTCATTCAATATATTTTATTATATGTTTGAGCTACTTGTAAGTAGATGGATTGCTTTAACTAAAAAACCATTGTAAATAACACCAGAGAATTTTGGTGAAATACATAACCTTATGCATAACTCACAGTACAATACCTAGTTGTCATGTTGACAACCAGTTGTGTAGATGTTGATAATATTTACCTTGTCATGAAATTAGCTTATTCATAGTGTAAGATGAATTGTGAAACATTGGGAATATTTTGTTTCCGCCAACTTTATCTTCCGTCTTACTGATCAACTTTCAAGCGAGTTCATTCTCCAATTCCGAACTAAACAACTTTATGAACATGCTTTTACAATGACTAAAATTTATCTCCTCCAATTATCCTATATTTATGTCATTACTTACCACAGTATGATAGGTTTCTGTGAAAGTGTTTGAATTACATGAATTCTTATTTTTTGAAATAATTGACACAAATTCTTTGGTTTGCAGAGAATATGTGAAGAATCCAACAAATAAATGAGTCTAAACTATAAAGCTACATTTGTATTCCTTGATTTATTGATGAAAGAACTATATTAAAACAAACCTCAACATAACTTATTACTTTTGAGTTATAAAGGACTTTTATAAAAACCCTTATCTACATTTTAGACTAGAATAATGAGCATCACTAGTTCAACAACCTTAAGATTTAATAAGTCAATCAATTAGTTAATAAACAAGGAAATGTACTTTGCTTTCAAAAAATCAAGTCAACATGAAAATCAATACCATTCTGTTTACTAGGAAACTAAAAAACAACAACTTAGTAGGTATATATTTTTGATAAGTACTTTTTTAGAAGAGTTAAGTAATTTGGTTAGTAGTCAATCATCTAGAACTGTGGTCCAGTTAGTAGAAAGGAGTCGCTTGAATTATTCGTCAAATAAGTTGCACGGACATGGATTCTGCGTATTGTAGATGAAGAATTACTCGTTTTAAGAATAACATTTTAAAATGGCTTTCCACCAAAATTCATCCATAAGAATATAAAACTTCAACTTTTAAAAGAATCAATAACGCTTGTGTCAAAAAGGCGCACTGCTTAAAGGTCGAACTCAAAGTTAACATAGTTGCAAATAATACGAGGATTTCAAACTGCGTCAAAAATCTCTCCTCGAATTATATCTAGCCGTATCATTCTGTAGTCTGTTTGAGTTGAACGACAATCTAAAAAATGGTTTCGTTCATCTGACTGCTTAAGTGTGTATTTATCGATGCACTTATTCCTATTGAACTTGTTATAACACTTGTTAGATATGCATTTTATCCAATAGTACTTTAGAACACGCAAGAAAATAGGTGACTGACTGATTATTTTACGTAGTGTTCGTTGCAGTCTTTACTTATGGACTGAAGTTAGTAAACTTCTAACGCGATCGAACTGGCATGAAACTGCATGAATATAGTAGCACTTGTGAACATGGTAACGTTAGATTGAGACTGTATGAAGTGAATGTTTAGTATAAATGAAAATAATTAGTAAAACAGTACGTTGATTTATAGCATATAAAAATATTAGGCAAATTAGTTAAATTCATTAATGCAAATGTTCACAATTTTAATATTACTTAATTTGCTCATTCAAGCTATGCTTTATTTTAGCGATTGTTATATAACATTTATGGATATAAAAGTTTTTCAGTCAAACACCTTTCTCATCTTGTTAAATTTCGATTAGAAAAGTTACATTAATTTCTTTCACAATTGATTGATCACTGGGTGGTGATCAATGTCATGCTTGTCTAGTCCTTATTAGTGCAGATCGAATGCTATCGATCATATTGCAATGTGGCCACCAGTCTAGGTGACTCGACACTGTGGGCACTATGTATTGAGATTAATTTCTTTCTTTAACCCTACATTGTTCCTTTATAAATTTATTTAGAATAGTTATTCGTATCAAATAAACAATAGATTATCTCTTCATGATACTAAGGAAACTAATACTTTAATATTGTTCAGAGTTCTTACAACTATGATATTTTTAATGAATCAAAATTATAAACAACGATCAAACCAAAATGGTGTAAATTTGAGGATTGTTGGCAAACAGTTCTCTATGCTTTTTTATTTGAAACCTTCTATTACGATAAGAATTAGGGATATACATAGATATAAATATATTTCAACCGAATCACATGCAATTGTCTGTTATCAGTTTACAATAACTGTTAGTTGAACGCACGTTAAACGTAACATAGAAAATTCACCGATTCATCATTTCTACAAGGAAACAGAATCAAAAGAAAGTAATTAAAAATTTATTTAAAGTTAACTTTTGTGACAGTTAATCCTGCATTCACAAACAATGTACACACAAACTGCATGTATGTATTTGTGGTACAAATTAAAATGATCTCAAACTTGAACTAAACACCTGTTCAGCTTTTTACGGTTGATGAATATTCGTCAATTGCTATCCAACCTTGTATTGATATTTTTATGCCCACCTATTGAATCTGTTATATATTAATCGAAATAAATCCAATTACAGACAAAATACTTGCAAGGAATTAACCTACCCTTTTGTAAATTATTTAATAGATACTTTAAATATTGTAATGGTTAATTTCTTTAAAATTAAAATTATTCTTTGAACTAACTAGTCATGTTAAACTGAGGTCATAACTGCAAATATCAACCTTGATCTGATTGTCTAATTTATGAAATTACTATCATATTTACCTGCAGAAGCATAAATTACACATTTTAATATGTCACTTTTATTCATTTCTATTAGTTAATTTTTGATTTATCATAAATGTCTTCATTCACTTATAATAAACGAACAATGACTAATGTATTTCATTTATGAATATGGTAACATAATTGTTCATATATGATCACTAAATATATATAGGTCACGTATTTTTGTTTCCACCACGGTAGTTAACAATTTAATAGACCATTTGATTTTAAGGACATACAACTATCGTTTCCTTTTTTTGTTGTTCATAGTAGCGGACTAAAGGGAATGAAATGTTTAAAACATAAAATGAAATCTCGTTGATTGTCGTTGTTGTTGTTGCTGCTTCTAACATAAAGATGAATATTGAATGTTCTAGAAATTTTCTATACATAAATTATGATTAGTAATTAGATAGTTTCCTTTTACAAAAAAAATAATTGGTCTATCACAATCACTTGTAACTTATAAACTTTTCAATTGATGCTTTTTTCTAATATTTAAATATTTATTTCTCTTAGAATGAGTATTTTTCAATTTGGAAGTTAGTGTATCGTAATGGATTAAAATGGGCTGTAAAGCCTTTATAAATTATTTGTTAATTTGAAACTTTGTTCCACAGTACACTTACTCCTTCATCAGGAATTAAGTTTTATAAGTACAGTTTATGTGGCGAGCATAGTACTTGATGAATGTTCAATCAATGGAAGTCAATTACATAGATAGTTAGACATTAACTGATAGGTCCCGGGTTCGAATCCCGCGAGCGGGATCGTTTATGGTTACTGCTGAGTAGTGCAACAGTAGGACGAAACGACCGTCCAGTGCTTCCAGGTTTTCCATGGTAGTCTAGCTTCAAGTCACTCACGAATTCAATAATTAAAATAAACTATGTTTAAGTATAACATTTAAGTAACAAGAGCTTGTAAAATTCAATTTCCTTGTTTGAGTTTTTTCGAAACATTCTCTGATTAAAGTTAACCTACAAATGACCTACGAAATGGTACTTAAAAAACTCAATGAACAAAACTTTAATGTTATCGCTAAATGTATGTATTATGGTAGATTTTAAATGATTCAATGTTACGCTTACCGTATAGTCTTTTACCAAAACGTTGTGGCACAAATCCTTTGTCAGTGTCATAAAGAAACATCAAGAAAAGAAAATGTAATGAGATTTTATTTTATAACTAAAATGTTGTGAAATATTTACTAACAGTTAAACACGTAAGCCATGTAGTTTGTAAGAAACCTTATTCTTCATCGTCATCATCATTATCACCATCATCTGATGCTGTTGCTACTTCTACTACTGCTACTCTGATAGTCACTTTGATAATTACATATATATATATATATATATATATAATGCATGACGTTGGTCCGATGAACAAATATTTTTGGTTCTACATTTCTAATAGCCATGAAAAGAATTTAGTATGAATAACTGCTAACCTGTTCGGGTCTACAATTCTGTTATACAAAGTATATCAGCCCTTTAATATGTTGCAATCAACGATTATAGTTTTGAATATGTATTTCGATTATTCTGACTTTCTATATTTCCAAATAACGACAATTGATTTGAGTTCAAAAATCTTTGTGCGTGCTTCCCATATGTACGTTCTGTTAAGACTGTCTTTGTGAGCACAAGGTTTTTGTACTAAAAATTGATCATTCAAAGCCTCTTTTTTGTTTGTTATTTTTTATCGGTAAAAATCAAAAGGGTAGTGGTGCAGTTGACGTTGTTCGTATGTGATGTAAGTCAAACACACAATTCCCCAAAAACTTCTCTTCCTTGTTTCAGGGAATATTATCAACCAAATTATTTGTAAATTTGAATAAATTAATGTCTACAATACACATTCTGATTCGTTAAAAACCTGCAACTAAACATAACATACTATAAACACTTTTCTTAACAAGGACGATACGAATTCCGGCATAAAAACTATTGTTTAATTGGTTTACATAACGATTTTATATTCATTAGATATTTTCGACATTTTGAACACCACAGAAATTTCGTAATTATTATCCAGCAAACAAAACTGGACTTATAAAAACAACAAATGTATATGAACATATTTTTATGCCATGCTGTCTTGGAATGCTTCATCAGTTCACACATCTTTATTTTTAAATACGCACTGACGGCAGAGAAAATAGGGAACTTTTGAGCAAGTGGCTTAAATTTATTGAACTGCATAAAAACTCAGTCATATAATGGGATCCTTTGAAACAGTTAGTAAACAAATACACAAAAGTAGCTCGATTATAATTGTTGAAGTTATCGCCACCAAAAGGCTAAACTATAATCTATATGTTCGAATAGAAACTGCTGATAACCAGTCAGTTCAAATTTCCAGTCACCTGATTCAAAATTCTCATACTCTTAATATGTGATTCTTGCTGTTCCATCTCTTCAAAATTTCGAACCATATCTTTCTAATTTATTTTAACCAATTGGCTGGTTTTCATAATCCAAATAATTCGTGTATCATTCCCTCTTTTATTTTCTAGGATGATTTTCTAATCTTTTGATACCGATCATTTCGTCGACAACACTTTATCACATCAAGTATTTATAGTTACTAGGTTTATGTATCCAACTCTTCCATAACTTTCCTACATTCTTTAAAGCATTTTACAAAATGCAGAAACTTATATCAAACAATATTGAAAGTTTATCTAAAATAATCAAATGTTATTAAATTTGTTTGGGTTGATTAAAACCATGTAAATGAATGGGTTATCATTCACTAAGAACCTTGATCTAGATGTTTAGGAATTTAATGTTAACTTAAGAATCTTCACAATGATGAGGAGAAAAGTAACTGTTCTAGAACTGACAAGCTGATTAAAATGATCTATTTTTTAAAAGTGTGACTATCTTACTTCATTTTCACTGTTATAGAGCATTGATGATCGGCTTTTATTCTTAAACGCCGTTATGAATGTTTTATCCAGGTTAGTAAGAGGACGTATACTGTCACAATCCACTGAAAAGTACTGACTGCTCAATGTACATATATTCTCTGAACAGTCAAAATTACTTTTCTATAGATTAATTTTAATTTGCGCTTAACCAACATGCACTAATTAGTTTTTAGAATTGGACTGATTTAACTGCAGGTATTACTTTTGGTAACTGTTATTAGGTCATATTATCAACAGTTAGCAATAGTTTACTCCAATAGATATTTTAGGAAAATATAATGAACCAGATTAACAAAACAGCAGAGCAAAATAAAATAAATTTCACGGGTTGTAATTTCTTGGTTGTCAACAAACCTTTAGTTAAAGTTATGGATTCAGTCACTCACTCAAATGTATGTATGATTTTTATGAATAAATACTGTAAATAAACCAGAAGTTGGAGATTAGCTATTCATGAAACAGCATGAAAAATCCACCAAGCGTAGCGCAACTAATAAGTTTATATATATATATATATATATATATATATATATATATATATATATATTTATATGTGCTATCAACGAAAAGTAAATAATAATAACATATTCGTCTACTCTAAAAAGAAAGTTCACGTTTAATACAATTTACATGCATATTATTCTATTAAATGATAAACATTATCATCAAAAGTAGAGATCTCTTTGGTTTGAGTGTAAAAGTTTATAGAAAATAGTGTTGACTAAAACAAAGAATTAAAAAGTTAATGACTAGTAATTTGTCTCAAACCGATGGGAGATAATCACTTCTAATCCTTAGGTCAACGTTTTTCCGAACTCTAATTATGCATGTGACTTATGATGAATCTTCAAGGAATTAATTCTTTCTGTGGGATTCTAACCTTTGTGTTATTGTTTAATAGTCTGTAACGGTATCAACATTGTGCTTGAGTTACGGTGAGACTGTGGTAGGAGCAAGATCGAGCTATGTTTAAACAATAAAACTTGTAGCACTACTATGCGCGCATGTGCATGTACGATCTCGATCTCATACATGCACAAGGCCTTATTGATGCTAAAGAACATTAGACAACTGAATGAACAGCATTACAACGGTTCAATACAGTCTACCTAGAAGATACTAAGAAACTCAATCAATTCATTATAACTTTCAACAACAGGTTCCAAGCCTTACAGCATCTGTTCGAAGAAGAGAAAATTGTTGTGGAGGACAACTAGGAAAGGATAAAAAAGCGCTAACTTCATCGTGTCAGGAAGTGATTGGACTTGAAAAGCGTCACCGTAAGGAATGGATCTCTATCGAAGCTCTGGGCAGCACTCAGGAAAGGAAGAATAAAGAGACAGTAATTAACAACAACGGAACAAGAACAGGGAAATTCAAGGCATAATCTAAGTACACAAAAGCAAACGAGTGAAGACCATTAGAGCCAACATGTAGAAATACGTGGAAGACCTAGCAACGATAGAATAAAAAGATGCAGCAGAAGGAAATATGAAACACCTATATGACACGATGAAGTAGTGGCAGGGAAATATAGTAAACCAAAGAGACCAGTCAAGGAAAAAGAAGGCAAGGCAACCATTGACATTCAAGGACAGAGTAACAGATGGGTAGAATACTTCGAGGAACTCTTCGATGGGTCAGCTCCATTGAATCCACTGAGCATCGAAGCTGCACATACAAACCTTTCTATAGATTTCACTCCATCAACGACGGAAGAAATCGGGATGGCCTTCGGATAAGTCGAGTGAAAAAGCATCAGGACCTGACAATATACAATCTCAAGTACTGAAGTCAGACATAGAAGTAACTGCGAACATGCTCCACTCTTTGTTCAGGAAGATTTGAGAGAAAGAACAAGTGCCAATGGACTGGAAAGAAGGATACTTCATCAAGATACCAAAGAAAGGAAGTCTGAGCAAATGTGTGAACTATAGAGGAATCACACTACTGTCAGTACCAGAAAGGTTTTCAACTGTGTGTTGCCGAACCGGAGGAAAGACTCAGTAGACTTCCAGCTTCGTGATCAACAGACCAGATTCTGTAAGTATAGGTTGTGGACAAATCAAATCAGAACACCACTGGTCATCGCTGAGCAAATAATTGAACGAAACTCTTCACTGTTCATAAACTCTCTTGACTATGACAAAGCACTTGATAGTGTTGATAGGAGGACCTTATGGAAACTTATTAGACAATATGATGTATTTAAGAGGATCTTCAATATCACATGGAATTCGTACGACGGACTACACTGCATCGTCGTGCATCGAGGACAGCTGATAGATGCATGACAATTAAGGACTAAAGGCAGACAACGCTGCTCACTCTCCTCCTCCACCTTTTTTCTGGTGGTCGAATGGATCATGAAAACCTCCACATCTGACGGGAAGCACGGGATACAATGGATAGCTTGGATGCAGCTAGATGATTCGGACTTCGCAGATGATCTAGTTATTCTATCTCATAGACGTCCAAAAATGCAGATGAAGAAACTAGTGTAGCGACAGCATCTGCATCAGTGGGTCCCAGCACGCACAAGGGAAAGACCAAGATCCTCAAATACAACACAGAGAACGCCAACTCAATCGCACTTGATGCTGAAACTCTGGGAGAAGTGTAATCTTTCACGTATCTGGGTACGTCATCGATGGACCTGGAGGATGTGATGCAGACATAAAGGGAAGCATTGGCGAAGCAAGGACAGCATTCCTACAGTTGAAGAACATATGGAAGTCAAAGTAACTGTCAACCAATATCAAAGTGAGAATTTTCAATTCGAACGTCAAGACAGTCCTATTGTACGGAGCTGAAAATTCAAGAACTAATACAACCATCATCATAAATGAACAAGTATTTATAAATAGTTGTCTATGCAAGGTATTCAATATCCTTTGGCCGGACACCATCAGCAACAGCCTACTAATGGAGAGGACGAACCAGCTTCAAGCTGAAGAGGAAATTAGGGGAAGAGGTTGGAAGTGGATAGGAAATACATTGTGGAAATCCTCAAACTGCATCACGAGTCAAGCCCCAACTGTATATAAGTAAGTTATGTACATGTACGCATTTACCGCTAAGGTGAACGCAAACTTGACATTAAGTACTGAATAATAATCAATCGGTACTGAAAAGTTTTTGATAACTGATTCTGGTATCACCAGAACTATCTTACCTAAACCGATTAGGAATTATTGGCCGACCCACATAATCTGACATGAAATGATCTAAAACTATGTCGGTAAAGTTAAGATTTTATGTTGATTTCAGTACTAGTCTTTCGTAATCGAGTATGATATTCATTTCTTTGTTAAGGAAATTCTGATATTTTTAGAACTAAACTTCGAATTACTATGGAGTGTTTGAATGAGCACTTCTAAAGCTGATCGAACAATAACTAAGAAACCGTGTAATCATAGATTTCACTAGTAAGATATTTAAAGTATTTTAGTATCTTCATGGCTTCGTAATGACTATAGTTTGGTTATTCAAAGATTTTCACAACATATTTTTATTCGTTTTATTCGTTTACTAATTAAATGTAAATATGAATGCGACTGTATTCATTAGCTTATTTAAAAAATACTGAAAGTATATCAGTTTACTTTAATAAAGATAACCATTTAATAGATATATAAATTACTATAAATAAAAAAAACTAAAACATTTTTAATATTAAGTTTGATGTACAAATAGAAACTATATGGAAACGTCACAAGATTTTGGATAATTGATGTCTACGACTTTAAATTCAAACAATGGTCATTGATGAAAACACTCTATTCGGTCGGTTAAACAAATAGTAAATAAGGTAGTAGCATAATGTTTGATTCTTGAGTTCATAATGTTGTTTGAGATATCTAACTTCAGTGAGTAGCATTAATCTGAGTTCTGTGAAGTTGAATGACATTAACATACAGTTGAACCGATGATGAATCTTCGAAAAGTGGTAAATAGTGTAGAAATCAATAATATTATTCGTTTGTACCGACCACTTATTTCTCAGAACATATTTACAAAACTTGCGTATCATAATATCTGTTTGATCGCTTGTATTGAGTTTTCTAAATGAACTGATTCGGTTAATATATTTCCATACATATTATCATCATATTTTGGGGCTACAGACAGTGTAGAGATAAGCCACATAGCATGTTTAAATTAGATGTGATAACTTATTGAATACCAAAGACACAGCTCAGACAATCGGCTATTTTCAACACTATTTAATAGGTTCATAAAAACAAGCTTATGAACCATCACTTTCACATGTTAACTTTAATTATTTCACTTAAAATATGTGATTCAGGTATTTTGTTATCCAATTCATCTGTTTGAATACGTATGTTATGGTTCTTTCGAAAAATACTTCTTTAACTTAAACGTTAATTGAATACTTACTTGTGTATCTTTTTCCAAATCGTTGGGGCATAAAATGACGTCTTATTCTATAGCGATCATATAGTTCTGAATCTTTTAGTTTAGATTTGACAAGTTCTTCGGACAAATCCTCACCATAATATCCTGGTATGTTAGGATAGTTTTTTAAGTCGAATTGGGCTGAATAGTGACTAGTCCAAGCTATCAGTAAGATAGTAATCTTTAACGCATTCCCAAGCATTTTAAAAAAATCTAAAATAGAAAAAGATAAGCGAATTTCAATGACTTTATAATGTTTTATGGTGTAAAAATTAGCTGCAATTGAGTAGGTCAAACGGTCTACAAACTGATTGCGATGAAGCAGGAAACTTAATCACCTGGCACTTATACGTCGGGCATAGAAGGTTAAGAATTATTGGAATGCATTTTCGTGACATAAAAGTATTTAGTAATTTTATCAAGAGAACTCAGTACTTTTTCAAATAGATAGTAATTACTAGCTGCATTGCTGTGCTTCTCTGTTAAAATGAAGGTCAAAATCAAGATAGATGTTTGTATACAATTGAAACAGGTTCTCTGGAAATGTAATTGATATTGATGGCAGTTAAGACACTCGATCCTGTTACTATTTTATTCAGAAAAACATATGCTCAAATGTCATAATTCAACAAAAAATTTTCACCCCACAGTTTAAATCATTATTTATTCTGACATATTATGAATAGATTGTTTCTCAGGTAGGAACTATTATTATGAGATTCTAGTTCACAATGTTGATTGACTTTTGCTGATCAAATTGTAATTTTGACATTTGTTTAATTGAGTTCGTTACTCTGCTCACTGAATTACTACCAACTTTGCCCTGAGATCTACTCTCCGGTTGCCACCAAATGGTATTCATGGTCTACATGTCTGTCTTCAATTACGGGCGCTAAATATTCATCGTTCTATCTCTTTTCTTTTGCATTGAGGATTAGAAGTTAGGGTTCATCTTGTGAGCTGTCATTTCCACCTCCACCGTCTATTCCTAATTTCCTCCTCAGCTAACAACTGGTTTGTTGTCTTCCAGAGCAATTTATTACTGACGGTCTCTGGCCAATAGGTCTCAAGTATTGTGGTGTACGCTACTCATGATGGCAGATATAAGTAATATGTGGCAGTAATCGGATGTGAATTGCCTGTCAGCAGAAGATTAAGTTGAATGAAACAGGAAGATGAACAGTGATCAGTTGTAATAATACCAGAATTGGAAGGATCATTAAACATGTAAAGGACAACTGAAAGATGTGCACATAACGTATTTAATGTATGGTTTTCATATTTCACCAATGCCCTATGTACGTTTGAATGAAATAAAAAATCGGTTCTCCCCATCTGAGTTTTTGTTCACTATGATATCTCTCATAGTTAGAAATTCATAAATACCAGTGTACTTTTGATGGTGGTGGAAGCCCATCAAGTTTCATCCCCATAAAATAGTACAATTTCGACGTCACTGATGAGAATTCTGTGGTCATGGGGAACAATTGTTTTGAGTTCCAGATAGATCTAAATTGGAGGAATGTCGCTGTTTTTCCGTTGATTGGTCTAGTGATATTTTCATTAGATTCTGCTTGCTTATGAGTGACTCTGTCCAGGCGTGTAATTGCTTCCAGTTATCTCAGAGCTTCCCGATCAAATGTGACTTGGTTGATGCTCGTACTGTTGAGCACAACGATCTCGTTCTTCTGTTGTAAAAGTTGAGCCAAACTTCTGTGGCGGCCGCTACTACAATGACGTTTTGCACATATTTTTCCGCTGTATAAATTTTGAAGGAGCCAAGCCATTCGCGAAATTTGAAACATCCAACCCCAACAAGGCGTCCACTGTACCGCACTTCCTATGGAATGTGGTCATCGTAATCCAGTCAACAGCTGGCCAAAGATGAGAAGGCGAAGGCAGTCAATCATGTCTGAGATCAGTGGTCACTTGGAACGTATCGGGAAGCTGCCCTGCATGCACAACTTTGTAATTCAGTCCCTCACGAGAGTTCCGTATGTTGGCGCCAGTGTTTTCAGTTATTCCATGGTGTTAATAGCGATTTTACAACATTACTTCTATCCATGCTTTATCCTAACCAAGGAAGTTGGTGTTTAATGACGGCTTTCATTCAATTGAATATTCAATAATAATACACATTATCGCCATTTGATCGGTATATGATCGTCCTTTACGAAAGCTGACTTTTTGATCTCGAAGTTGGACGTCTACTGAAACATTCATTCAGTTCACTAACTGTCTATTGAAATTGTAACTGGTGCTAACAGTTATGTGATCCTTCTGTAGTTTTTAAACCCACCAAGACCCCTTTTCTTTGGTATTTTGTGAGATATCTCTTCTTCCAGTTTGTTGGCAATCATTCTTTCTCCAAAATTTCTCAGGAGAAGATATATATCTGACTTCAGTGTTTCAACTGGTATGCTATCTGTTCCTGCCGTCTCGTCATTCTTGATTCGTCTGAAGGTCCTATCAATTTCATTTTTTGTTGGTGGGTTAACATCTAACAAGAAGTCTATGCGCGCTGCTTTAGTGAGACTCCTTTATTCAAGAGCTCTACCTGGTCCTCTACCCCCTGTTCTGATGCTGTTGAGTCTTACCGATCAATTTTCCTTCTTTGTTCTTGACTGGTTCTTCTGATCTACTGTATTTCTCTGCCAACTTAGTCGTATCATACAGTTCTTCTACACATCCTTCCATTGCACCTTATTCTGCTATAACTGTCAAGCCTTCCGCATACTTTCACCTTTCAGTCCTAAAGTTCTTATTTACTTGCTTGTTTTCGTTTGAAGACTCCTTGCTTTTTAAAACAAAATCTTATTGATCTCTTCGGGTTGGCAATTTTGTAGATAGATTCATTTTTACGAAATACAAATACCAAACGTACAGTTCAACAGTCCTCATTTACTCAGGCTTAGGACTGGTAAAGGCCCTACTGGTTCTCCAGATGGAGTTAATTTAGGTACTACTTTAAGTGATTTGATATCAGATGCAGTGAATTTTTTGTTTCAGTAGGTTAGAGACAATTTTTCATTTAACCATATCATTTCAACTCATCTGGTTTTTAACAAATATTAGGTTAAATATTACTGAGACTCTTTGAAAGTTTTATTTATGAGAGAAACAGTGATACAATATCAAAAACATCTATACATAAGCTGGATATCATACCGGACTTGATGCCTTGCTGCTGATTCATAAAAATTACTATGTCGATCGCGATGGCTAAAATACTATTTTTATTAGGGATTTTGTTTATTTTTATGTAATAAAGTATTCATAATCATATACTAATGTAAATAACTTATTTTAAAAAAAATTGTATACCTTATTATGCAAGATAATTATTCATATTAAAAAGCTGTTTATGTTCTCTCAACTTGTCTGTGATTAACAAAACTGAAACATACACTATAAGCTCTGCCTTCATGAAGCTGATAATAAGATCGTATTCACCATTATTTACTGTTATATGAAGCATGGATGTTCGAAAATTCAGTACCCTAATGTATTTATTTCTCCAAAAGTAGTTGAATTAATAAATGCATCTTGGGTAGCTACAAGCATTCTTTTTTTCATTTGTGAAATAATAGCACATTTGTAAAATATAGTGCCCACCGTAAACGTTTTTGAAATATCCTTAAGAATTCTACCAAATTTATCACATGATCTGCACATTGTATGTTGTACACTGTTGCGGCCATCAGTATACCTCGTCATAAACATAATGTAATTAGCCTTATTTTGCAGTCTCAGTACTTTTTCGGACAATTGACAGTTGTTAAGTAAAGTAAACTATATATATATATATATATATATATATATATATATATATATATATATATATATATATATATATATATATATATATATATATATATATATATATATATATATATATATATATATATATATATATTGTAGAGATATCATCCCACTATCTGTACAAGTATACAATGAATTTGAGAGCAGTGATCATAAAATTGTTCTTGCTCTGCCTATTTCTCCCTTTTATAACCAACCCATACAAAAACCCGCTAATGAAGAGATTATAGAGATGCTGACTGGGACCTCTTGCACTCCCTGGTAATATTCTAAGACTGAGATACCTTCCCAAATAATGGCTTTGTGGACGCTATTGTCATATTCTATATGATCGCTAACCTGTTTAGATTCCTGCACACATCTTAAAACGTACAGGTTTAGTAAACTTAGCAGATTATTTATACCAGCTATATATCGTAATAAATGAAGCCCGAAGAAACGTTATTTTAAGTCAGACAGTTTCACGGAAGTTACATAAACAACTATAATAATTTTTAACCAAGTTAAGAAAATGAGTGGGTTAAAAGCCATTGTTGAGGAGCTGTTAGCACTTAATACTAGTTCAAATATACAAAACTCAATTATCCTTTTTGATAAACGCGTGAAAGCAACTCAAAATGTTGACATGCTATGCATTCTGCATGATGGCACTTTTATATACGAGTGTAAAACTATAGCAGACCTTTTCAGTGGTTTTTTGGCGAACAATAATGAATTTCTAAATGATACTGTTTCAAAGTCATGTATGTAACTAGCAACTCAATCAGATCTATCTCTTTCACATACCTGAGAATTATTCAACATATAAACTCCCTTAAAGTTTCAAGCGGTCATGAAATAGACGAAATTTCATTTTTCTCTACAGACACGATGGACCAGATATTCTATTACTTCTTCTAAAGCTGTTTACTTTTTCTCTCTAGAGACAGGTACTTACCCTTACTGTTTGAAAACTACATATATCATAACACGTTAAAAATTTGAGATAAGACTGACATGAACAATTAACGCTCCATAAATATTACTCCAGTTATCTGTAAGGTTATGGATAAAATCTTTAGTGACGAACTCTCTAACTGTCTGTTCACTGAAAAGCTTATCAATGATTCTCAACATGGCTTTCTTAAAAAGCAATCTTGCATGACATCCCACTTTGGCTTCTTCAATTTCATCTTTGCTCAACATAACCGAACATATCTAGTCTTGATCATATACTCTGACATTTCTAAAGCTTCCAACATGATTAACCACCAGCTTCTTATGGACAAACTGGCATCTTACTTGGTTTAACGCTTTCTTTGCCACCGATAACAAATAGTCAAATTAACTGCTCCTTGTCGGATGCTGTCCCGGTTGAAAGTGGTGTAATAAATGGTAGTTTCTTGGGTCGTTTGCTTTTTTTAGTTTATATCAGTGGTATTTGCGGTTGCTTTTATATGGGTAAGCCTCCTCTGAATGCAGATGGTTTTAAAATAGTGTATTCGTTTTCTCCTAATGAGCTGAAAAATACGCAAAATTGTATCAGTATGGAGTTCAATAAGGTAGTTCAGTGGTGCTCAATATGGTAGCTGTAGTTTAACGCGGCTAAAGGTGCATAGGTGTGCTCCGGTAATACATCACTCAACTTAGATCTTATCATAAATTGTGAGGTCTTATCAAAGTTACATACAGTAGTGGACTTAGGACTTAAGTACTCCTACAACAAGTCCCTCAAGGAACAGGTCTATAAATAGGCCTCCAAGTCCCTGCGTCTTATGGTTTACATAATTCATAACCTCTATAACAGCAAGTTACTTATTTTGATGCATAAAGTATGTGTTCGATAACTCCTAGAATACTGCAGGTTTATTCTTAGTGGTACTCACATAAAAAATTAAGGTTGGAATCCATACAGAGACAATTTACACTTTGCATTCTTGGGACTGACTGTACCTTGAATTACAAGTGCAGATGTATTAAACTTGAACTGAACCCTTTATGGAAGATAAGACTCAAACTCAATCTAATCTTACTCTTCAAACTACTAAATAAACTATTCTTTGAATTCAATCAATTAATTTAATATGCAGAGACTCTCTTTATACCGATCATGCCTGTAAACTGGAATGAATTCTGTAATTATTATTTTTAGAATATATATTGTTATTATCGTCGTTGAGATAAAACAAAACAGTAACCATATGAATTCAGATCATAACCTAAAATTTAACCACATCTTGTTCAGTATTAATCTTTTACTTACACCCTCCATCATTTTTGTACATATATATCTGAATTAATTAAGCTGTTGTCCAACACTATCACATGAATAAAATATATTTCATTCTTATAAAACACACATATTCATTAGTGTAAAACAGTTTGACAGTTATACTCCTGAAAGATCCCTAATCAGTGTTAGAATTAACCGAAATCAAAAATAAATTTCCGTTTGACTTTATTTACAGCTCAAAAAAAAACCACTTTAGAACACTTACAACTATATTTATTCATTAAAATTATTGAATATTAGTGTGTAAGTTTAGTTTTACCTCGAAATTTTAGTAACTATTGGTAAAGAGTTCAACATTATTTCACTTTTCAGTTTAAAGTGGGTACTAATTTTATGGAAACAAGGGACACATTATCAAATTTTCACTATTTGAAAACCTTCTACGGTGTTAACGTTTACATAAAAAAAGGAAGCAGATACATCATACTCTTTGAAATTAAAAATAAAATACATACCTACTCATAAAATATGAAACCTTTATTAGAGCAAAATTTCGATCTGGATTTCTTTTTTTGTCTATTCTAAATAAATAGGTGTCATCATATATTTTCACTATATTGGACCTGAGCGAAAATTTTATTGTTGTTGATTATCTTACTGCCAAAAATTTATTAACACATCAGTAGAAATTTCTGGTTGTCATTTAAGTGAATACACAAGTTTTCATATATCGTAATCTCTGTTTATTCTTTTTTAAGTTTATTGTTAGCTATGGTTTTTGTACAATAAATCGTTAGATACTGAAAATCAACAGACACCAGATAACTATTTCTTTCTCAGTTAAGATTCTTCAAGAATCTCAACCTTAATAAAATAAGGCATCTATTGATTGTTCTTTGATTTTTAATTACTTTACTAGATTATTTCATTTCATAGTTTGCAAAACTAACCAGTTTTGTTTAAGCTAAGTTATAATCCGAAGTGAGTTCGAGAATAAGAGCTACTTGAAATTAAACACTATAATCAGTTTTCATAATACTGTGTCTTCCTATAATGGTAGTTATTTCTATATCTTTCATTGTTGCTTTGGGTAACAACAAAATATAAATATAAACTTCTTAGTAATTTCATTAGCTTGAAATCAGTTTTTTCATTGACAGAAATGCAAAGACAGATAAAAACAATGATACCTAAGACGACAAATATTCACAAATGATTTTATCAAAACGAACCAATTTAGTGTTAAAGAAAAAACTGAAATAGTGGAACTACACTAAAAGCTATTCAATCTCACCAACTAGCTAGAAGAACATACATTATGAGAAGTATCCACCTGAATCACAAATCATTCCAATCCTTTTATTTGCTGAATAATCATCTAGAGTTAATCATAATCTTAATTGAAAAGAATAAAAACAAAATGCAATATTTAAAAAAGACTAGGACAGTAATTGCTATCGAGGTACTATCGAAATTCAGTCAATTTAAACTCCTAATGACAGGAGTTTCAAAACTCGGTATACAGTTTTTCATCAATATGAATTTGTTTGATTATAACAGTTTCACTTATTACTGATCTACTTTATTTATTGTATGAGTATATATTCTGGTTGTAAATGGCAATTAATGGTGAACTTATTTTTAGCGAGTTATCAAAGTGTACTGGTTTATTTTCTTTATAAAAATTGTGTTGACCATGAATTTCAACAGTCTAAATAATGAATCCTAACAGAAATTAAAAGTATCAACTTATGATATAAAATGAATAAATTATGTATTAGGATTAAATCATTACAGCTACTAGTTAATAAATAAATAAATTTTAATAGTTGAAGCTATGAGTCAATTGAAGCTAGACAACCATGAAAAATCTGGAAGCACTGCACGGCCGTGGATGGATCGTGGATGCGCACTACTGAGAGCCACAGTAAGTCATTATTACTTACTTTTATTCAAGTGACCCTACAAAATTCTAAATACGAGTTTTATTTAATACATAAACATAAGATCAGGTTGTCAAGATTACAATTGATCATAACCGGTTTTCTAACCGGAATCAGTGTATGATAAAAATCGTATTAAAATTGTTGTAATGTGGTTATTTGTAAGTTGTTTGCATTGTAGGATTATGCATTCATTATACTGTAAGCGACAAGCTCTATTTTAGGCATTATTTCAATCAGATCTTCGAATTGATGCTATAAAAATATTTCAAAATTGTGGTTTAATGGAATGTGTTAATTGATATATATATATATATATATATATATATATATATATATAGAGAGAGAGAGAGAGAGAGAGAGAAAGAGAGTTTTTATCACTTATATTTTGATGAAGTTTAAAGATCATTTCCAAAGTTTAATTATGGAAATTTTTTGCTAAAACCGTGATATAAAGCTGATATATATATATATATATATATATATATATATATATATATCACATAATTATAATAAACACTTGATAATTCTCATTAAAAACAATCTAAGTATTTTGGGTGCCTTTAGATAAATTCAATTGAAAAGGTTTTGATAAATTAATCAGTCGGAAAATCAGAAAAATTGATGAAAGGAATCTTTGAAAATCAACAACTGGTTAGCTACTGAAATCGTGTACAGTTATTACATAACAGATATCCATTTAAATCATAAGTTCAAATTGAGTATTATTGAATGATGTGAATGTTTGCATAGTTACTCGTTTATACTATGAGAGTAAAAATTTACGCGACCGAAAACAAGAACCACCTATTTTCTTCACCCCAATGTCAACTTTCACTATATTTTTCATTTATTGAAATTTTTTAGAAGTTTATTTTACAATTTAAATGAAAAGCCAAAATACCAACAGCTCACAAGTTTTCTATAAAAAATGTGTATTTAGTTAATAGAATCGAGCTTTTTATCCATATATTTAGTGAGCCATATCTTGTATTATAAATGCAATACAATTACAATTAATTATTGATATACGTTTTTATTTTATCAGGCAAAAATACCTCAACTGGAACTGAACATACCTTTTTTGTTATTTTCATTGTAATGGATGAACAGTGCTGTTCAGAGTAAGAAGTTATATTTCCTTGGAATCTTACATAGTCGTCTATAATCCTATCATTCATATAAAATCAATAGATTTTATTAAGTTTCCAAATTTTCCTAAAACTTCATAAACCTAGTGATAAATTATCAGGTATTTGGTTAATAATCACACGGTTTCTACAATACTTTTACAACATGGTTTGTTAAAAAATTAAATTTCCTAGAAATTTGCCTTTATGCATTTTCGAAAAATTTTTCACAGGTTTTCACCTTAGTAAACATTAATATTGAGTCGCTATAATATTTTCATAGGTTATTTTATATATATTGTTTTTTACTAATCTTAACTTGTTTGGTTTGAATTATGTTTTACTAGTTATAATCAACCTATAATATTGTTTTAAAATTGTAAATAACCGAGAAGAATCCATAAGACAAATAAATTTATATCGAGACAGTCCGCACATGATGCATGTATGCCAACAAGAGACTGATCAATAGTAGTCCTAAATAACAATGGGAACATACAAGTAAAACAACACTAAGTGAACATTACAACGTTCATTGTTATTGTTATTGATCAAAGCCAAGTTCCTTTGTGTATTCTTGAATAAGCGGTTTGATATATTTATTACTTATCCAAGTAAGTATTATTTTAAGTTAATTTTTGTCCTAATTTAAAAAGGGTAATTAGAAAGAGTCTGGATTAATTTAAATGAATGAAAACACTGTTCTGTGATTGTCATAAAGTTTTTTTCAACAGAGTAATAAAATGAATATTCAAGTAGTCTGGACTTTACCATGTGATTAACTAAAAAGAACTTTTAGTGAATACTACTGGATATTTTTTCATTTTTTAGTAGGTCTTGCAAAAAACCTTCAAATTACCGCTAAAACGTTTTTAGAGTTACATACAAAGTACCGTTAAATTTATTATCATAGAGTTTCATTACTGTTAAGTCATAAATCACTTAGTATTAATTTATTATCATGAAACTAAGGAAATTTTCAAAAAAACCTATTCGTTAGCGTATGTTACGGAAATTTCGAAAGCATTGCAATGATAATGACAGTTTCGACGAATAAAAGCAAAGTCTGATCTGCATCTTGTCATGTAATACAGTGCTACTTTCTATGGCCAGTAAGTAGAAATTGAATCGATATAAGGAATTAGTCAAAATAAATCATTTTCTTATTATCAGCAGTTGCATAGTTATTTTAATTTGTATTTCTTTTTTCTTATTAATTAGTAACTAATTGTTTGTGTAAATTATATCTTCAGTTATTCCATGTATCTATTTATCAAGACATAAATGAAGGAGTTTATTTCATTCCCTTTCGTGATGTAGTATTATTTGTTTCTAAAACTAACGAAATGTATCTGAGAACCTACAAACACATCTCGAAATTTATTAATCTTTCAGAAATTTGTTGCAGAAACTAGTTACTTCATTTGATTTTCAGGATTGTTAGCTGAGTAATCATGTCAAAATCGCACACACGGAGTGGCTATTTTAAGTTAGTAACCAACCTACTAAAGAACTGTAAAGAGATGTTAGCCTTCAGTTTTTAAAACACTACTATTCCTGACAATTAAACTAACATAGATCATGCCTAGAGTACACCAGATTTATTCCTTTTTAAATAATCACAGTGAACATGTCTCACAATTATGTAGCTTTTATATAACCATTCTTGCAAAACATTTTTCTGACGTCAGTGAAGGTTACTCGATTTATGTGTATTTTACATTACGGTGAATAATACAAAATCACAGTAAGTTCATTCTACATGAAAATAACTTTGAGTTTGAGAACTCAGTATTTGAAATAAAACCGTCTAGTAGTCTGATTGTTTACAATAATTGTTTTCAGTAACACTGACTGGTTGTCGAACAAGATAATCAACTGACTAAAGTTGTAGATCGAAGTCATCGGATTTTGACCCGCTCACTTTGATACTTGGAGACTCATGAATTACATTATTGAGGCGAGCAACAGAAAAGCCACATACTATTGCGAAATAACGGTATGTTGTTTTCTAGGCTTAGTTTTCACCAGTGATCGATATTTTATGGAAAAAAGCCATCTCGCAACTAAATTCAACCTCAAAACCAACTAAACACATATTTTTATGTTGGATACATCTTAGACCCTAACAATCATAAATTTTAATTCAAAAAAACCTTAAATATTTACACGTATGCAAATTAACTATCAGGCTTACATATTTCACGTTTTTTGAAGTATACTTTTAACAATGTTAGACATAAATGAGAGTTAGATTTGTGAGAAGATCCTAATTAAAGCTTAATTATCACTATTTTTATCCATACAGTGATCTGAAAAATAACTTTTTCTTTTTAGACAAATAAAGACAATGTTCCTTTTTAACAATAAACAAGAAGATGGCTATTTAAAATCATATATAAATTATTAATTATATGACAAAATTATATATACATATGTACTTGGATATGTTTATATGTGTATGTGTATGGCATTTCCCTACTACACACACCAGTCGTAACTACTTTTGATTGTTAACATGCATACATCAATCTAATGAGTAGACAATTAATATTTCTTGGTCAAATCAAATTGATGAGCTTCTGTACAATCATAGTAAAGGTGTTATTCACATTTATTTATCATGCCATTGATATACAGAAAATATATTTTTATATTTTACTTATCTCACTAGTAAATTAAAAGTACAGAATATTATTTATTGTTCAGTTGAAAAATTATCTGATTCCTATTCACTACAAAAGCCGATCTATTTCGAGTATAATTTCGATGAACGGATGTGACAAATCACTAATTTTACCTTTGTTACGAGTTAAATATTATTTAGACATAGATATAACTACGATGAATTTTGATAAATCCTTGATTAAAACATTACATTTCACTGTTTAAAACGTAGTAGAATCTTGAACCATATTGACTCTCATTCTATAAATATTTGCTTAATTTATTGTTTTACAAATAAACTTTTTGGACGTTCAAATACTCCTGTCGCTTCAACATTTCCCCAGCACACATAAATCGTGACGAAAGATATTTTCACGCTGCTCTATCCTTTACAATTACTTCGACTAAACATTAATCATATGCACACTGATGGCTTGCTTCATGATTAATTTCATACTGTCTGTATTGAAGTCATTGGCTTTGCATGATATCACGACCAAGAGAAGACTAAATAGTATTTCAACTACGACCTACAACTGTAACCCATCAATCGTATTTGTTCAGTAAAATATCATAAATCAAATTTGTACTAAGGATACAATTGTTATTAGTCTGTGAGATAACTTCTTCTACATTTAACATTATTCTAAATAAATGTTTTAATAAAAACGACATATTCTATTGGTTTTACCTGTTGAACGAAATAATATTTTTGATACTGATGTTTATAGTTTTATTCGAATCACTACAAATTCAAAGAAAATCATATTTCACTTTCCTTATAATGCTGACGCTTGTTCATCTTAATGATTTTGACCACCATCGGAAAAAAAAATCACGAAACTATTGTTCAATGATAATCAATCTAATTGTTACAATAATATTAGATTTTTTAAAATTTAATATTGTTGGACATAGTGGGTGAATTATAGTAAAAACTCTAGTTCTTGGTATAAATGACTGAAACGTCAAGAAATCAACTATGTTACGTTTTGCTAAGTCATTTTTCGTGAACTGATATGATTATTTTCAATTTTATTAATTATAATCTCACATAATCAACTGAAAATGTTTAACACTATGAAATTTCAATGGGATACTTTGATTAAACGACATAGGAAAGGAATAAAGATATTAATAAACTAATTTAAAAACAACCTAATATAGCAAAAATAAAAAGGCATCTAATATTTCAATAAGCAAAAAAATCATTATTTAGCATTTTGTGGTCTTTTGTCTATGAGTAATTTAGAAATGATGTAATAGTGGCCTCACTATGTCAAAATTTAGTGGTTTTTTTTTCAAAGAAAGTTTACAAACATATAGTTTTTATTATGAACCATCTTCAGAAATCTTGTTATTTCTGGAAACAAATAGTCGTATACACAAAAAGTTAATTTACGTTAAGAAACAAACAGAATCTTAGAAATATTTTAATAATTTCAATAGTTGGTATCATGAGCCGATTGAAGCTAGACCGCTATGGAAAATCTAGGATCACTGGACGGCCGTTTCGTCGCCTTCTGATACTAATCAGCATATGCTCACTAGTGACTGGCTTCAAGAGGTATTTCCTGGAGTTCTAGTGAGATAGTAATTCACTGAAGACAATGGTGGATGTGTCGTTCAATTTCGTGAATTAGTTGAATCTAGACATTAACACTGTCGGATGCCGACCAGATCAGTGGTCTATTGATTAAGCGTTCGCGTGCGACAGTGATAGATCTTCGGTTCGAATGTCGTGGGGCGGGATCGTGGATGTTCACTGCTGAGGAGTACCACTATAGGATGAAATAGCCGTCCAGTGCTTCTAGGTTTTCCATGATGGTCTGTGTTTAATAGACTCATGATGTCAACTATTGAAATTATTATAATATTCACAAAAACCTCTTCTGATATTTTATTAAGTACGTATTTACTATAATTCATAATATTCAATTATTTCACTTACCAAAATAGTAATACACGATGTTACCAAAGTTTATTTAAAAGAAAGAATTTTCAACTTTCTCTATTCTAAAATAATTTTTTTCTCAGTATCCGTTGTTGAATTTATTTTAAGAATAGTGAGTTAAATCTGAAATAGTATCTATTTGTTTATTGGTCCATTATTAATGAAACGGGAAAGTTGCCTAATTTTTATTGGATAAACATTATTTTTGCTACTGTAAGAAATAAGTAACCAATTTTCGGATTTTCAGTAAAGATCGCTCTAGATTATCATATTTGTTTTTTTATTACATCTCAGTTCTTATTATTTTTCTCAGTTATATCTTAGAACATTCACTTACATTACCATAGTGAATTGTTTCATCCAAGTTTTAATAGTTACAGTCAAAAACATTATATTTACAAAAACATTTTTCGTATATCCTTAATCCAATCTTTGTTACTAAGTAACAGAAACCAATTTATGAACTAAAACTCCACTAAATCTTTTAAGACATGAAGTGTAAACTATGGTTGCACAAGATACATTGGATCAATAAAAATTGGCAATAAGTTCAGTAAATTATTTATCATAGTATTCGCTGGTATACACTATAAAACATAAGTAAAAGTGAAAAATTCTCATTTCGTTAAACGTGATGAACCTGGATAATTAGGTTAAGGTAGCTAGAAATAGAAATAATATATCATATGGTTTTCAAGATGATGGTAATTTTGCCGCATATATATGTAATAGATGTTTGATCAATGGAGTAAATGATCGGTATCTGTCTTAACCTTCTTGTTCATTAAGTGTTAAAATTGAATCTGATTCACATACTAGAGCCAGATAATTTAGTCTTCAACAAGTTGATGTTTCATATGTCGAATACAATACAACCGGTAGTTGTGTAGGCTTGAGGTTCAGATCTAAATTGGTTGGAAACAACCGTTGAAAAGACCTGTACATAAGTTTCTTAGCAAGTGCCACTTATGAACAAGATATACCTCTAATTCCGAGAAAATCTAGACTGGGCTCAAGGGTTGAAGTATGAAATTTTATACCATTATGTTAATAGATTTATGACTGTTAGACTCCGGTATATTGACTTATGTGCAGATTGGGAATCATACTTTGTGTAAATATTTATAGTTAAATGATAATCCTATCCTTGAGCGACAACTTATTGTTTTAAATTATGTTTGTTGACCAAAATAAACCAAAGAGTGAATACTAACACTGGAATTAAGGTTTATTCTACAGATAGGTTTCAAAAAGTATAAAATACTGTTTATCAATTTCACTATTACTTAAAACCCAAGTATAACACAGAATTTCAGTCAAAGAAAAATATGTAGGGATTTGCTTGGTATGTACTTAAACCAACAGTGACCGATTAGTTAAAAGTATAAAACCTGCAACTGTAAAATACGAGCATTTATAAATAAATAATAAGTTTAGCTTTTTGAAATCGTATTGATAGTAGATAACAGTGTCACAACATAATTATTTAAACCTTTTATTAAAAATACCATTTATTCTTTATATCAACTATTTCTATTGAAAAATTAGATGTCATAAATGTGTGAAATAAGAGAAAGCTTCAACTGCATGCACATGTTAGTGAACAGAAGGCAGTTATGTTACCTGGTATTTATGTACTTATGTTCTATGACTAAATTCATTAATCTGAACAATCTATTACCATAGTAGATTGGTTCGAAAAGCATATTCAATACATTTTTTGATAACCGAAATCTGGAACTTAAAAAAATAACGACTGTCATAGATCTGAAGTATGTCTGCCATTATTATTGACCAATTAGTTTGTAGCATCAGTTTTTTTTACATTTGTATTTGTATTATTTTCAATAGTTGAGACAATGAGTCAATTGAAGCTAGACCGCCATGGAAAACCTGGAAGCGCTGACTCATGATCTTAACTATTGAAATTACTATAATATCCACAAATCCCCTTCTGATATTATTCAACATATGCTCACTAGTGACTGGCTTCAAGAGGTATTTCCTGGAGTTCTAGTGAGAAGTAGTGACCAGTGGGATCTAACCGGGCCTGTTGTGAGATAGTAACTCACTGAAGACAATGGTGGATGTGTCGTTCAATGTCGTGGATTAGTTGAAGTTAGACAATAACACCGTTGGATGCCGCCCAGACCAGTGGTCTAGTGGTTAAGCGTTCGCACGCGACACAGATGGGTCTTGGGTTAGAATCTCGTCGGTCGTGATGGTGGATGTTCACTGCTGAGGAGTACCACTATAGGATGAAATAGCCGTCCAGTGCTTCTAGGTTTTCCATGATGGTCTGTGTTTAATAGACTCATGATGTCAACTATTGAAGTTACTATAATATTCATAAAAACCCACTTTGGTATTTGTATTAATTAACTCATTCTCATCAATATTTCATTCATTAATAAGATAGTAAAATTAAATGTATTGCATTTACTAATATCTATATTTATCTTTTCAAACGTGCTTATTTATTGTAATATTAGCAGTTTAATTTGTTAATTAATTTTCTACGAAATTGAAACTAGACTGAAAGAATATACAGTGAAAGTATTTGATTGTGAGACATTTTATTTCTGCCTCATACTACTACTACTACTACTACTACACATTCCTTAAACATGATATATGTATTGTATAAAATGAGAATTAGGAAATAATATTTCTATTCTAATTCTTTATAGCATAAATAAAATTGACAATTTTCTAGATCACATTATTATTAGTTAAGTGTTGAAATGAAATAAAAATACTATCATCTGGGTTAATTTTGATGAACAATAAAAATAGTAAGTATTTCTTTACACAAATAAAAATAATTAATTACATAATCGCTTACTTAAAGTAACTGGTTAACAGAAAGCTTCATTCAATTCAACATTTTATCGAAAGTTCATTTTGACCAATTTTACTGGTACACTTCTGTATGAAGTTTATTAACAGATGAGATATGCATACTTATGCAACTAGTAATGACAGATTAAGTGTCAACATTGGATTAATGAATTAAATCATATCTGAATTTAATTCATTTATTATATACAGGTTTATATGTTCAATCTCAAATCACACTTCGTATATGTGGGCGGGTGAAACTACTGAGTTGTCCAAACCAACGTTGGTGCTACAGGGTTTGAAAGTTGAATGTTTTAACTTCCAAATACTTTGTATAAATTTCAAAGTCATATCAATCCCTATAACTACGAAAGATTTGAAATGTTTTTCTATAGGAAGCTTCCTAGTTTAATACAAATGGGAATGATAAATAACCACTGAAATTTTTATACTGTTTTAAAGTATATCTGGATAATCAAAAAGAATATTTTTCGTTCAAATACTAGTCTTTTTATATCTGAATATTCTTCTTATTTTCAGGTATTATTCGACGTGAAAAAGAACGCTTTCACAAACACATCAAAATTATACTTCTTATTGATATTTAATAAACATTTTATTTAAACAAATGCACTTTAAGCATAATAAAGTAAATTATTCTAAATAATTCACAAAATTGTAACATATAAAACCTTGAAATTTTTGTAAAACTGAGCTACCGTAGCAAACCCAGTCGTGGGTTATAAATTATGAATCTGCTACCAATATTTTTTCCCTCAGTATGATAGAATTGTTATCTTTATTTTTATTCGTGATGGCGTCTGAAGAGAAAGGTACTGTATTCGTGTTCTGACGTCACTATTAACACTGGGATGCAGGTAAATCCACCCAACCAGTCCCAGACAGGATGAAATATGCTTTCTGGATTCTACCGCTCCCCAAAATTTACATATTCTATATTATCTTTAATGTTTCATGAAATAAATACGTAGGTCGTACTCAGAGGGCTTTGTCCTTGCGTGTTCGTGAACATGTACCAGCATGGTTGGGAAAAGGAGTTACTAAATCGATTAACAGAACTATTCTTCCTCACTTGGTAGATAGTGAACATCATATCAAAATAGAGGAAGTTTTCTCTGTTTTATATCAAGTTCCAAAATATCCACCTCAAGGAGATAGATTAAGATTGCTCTACATAGCCGAAGCCATCTGGATAAACTGCAGAAAACCAAACTTATGTATCCAGAAAAAGTATATCCAGCCTCTATGTTTACTTTGGCGCACGACTGGACCACCCGGATACTTAAACTGAATATTACAAACATTGTAACCCCTCTTTTTTGATTACCTCGATCTTAATCTTCACATCCATCATTCTCGATTAGTTTATCGTAATTACCTTGATAGCACCCCCCTTATTACATATTATATTCACATAATAATAATAATAATAATATTATTATTATTATTATCTCAATTGACAAGATGAAATTCTCCTACTATGCATTTTATTCACACAATTTTTTGCATTTTCATTTTTACTATAATACTATTCTATTTATTGTGACTGGACACTTTACTCCAAATCATTCTTACCTTTATTGACTGATTTTTCTAATTTGCGTATAATACAATTTTGAAGTATATATATTGTAACAGATGCAAACGTTCACCATTTTTAACACATAACATTGTCAAATTCACTAACACTTGCCTTATTTTGGCCTTGTAAAATATCATATTTATGGACTTATAACTGTAGAGCCTGATGATGAAGTTATTGAAAACAATTGATCGCTCAAATATTCTTCATTTTTAAATAAAATTATCACAAGGCATTTTAACATTTGATTTGTGTCTGTATTTTAAATTCTAAACTCAATTAAGATTGCAATGTGTTGTCTCTTGATGTAATATGCTTTTCAATACTATGAATAATAGAGTTTAATTACTTTATTTATTTGGCTTTATGAAAAGGGATATGTAGTAATTAATAACAACTATAAAACACTTACATTTCATCTGGGTGAGCACTGTTCCGCAAAAGCAACATTCGTACAAGCAACGGTTATTGAGTTTTTATTTTCTATCACGTACTTTATTTGGATGAGAGATGTGTGCAGATAATTCACATCACAGACAATATAATCATAAAGCCACTGTTCACCAAGGACCATTGAACAAATTCGTCTCTACCGACCCATGAGGGATTACATCATGTCCAGTACTCACCTTCCAATAACATTCTTGCTGAAGTTACTCAGCTGTGTAAAAGATAATCAAATATCCATGAATGATAGATTGTTTAATTACTACAATTTGTATTTATGAGTCTTTATTGATTGTTCACTGGTCGTTTTATTAAACAAATTGTTTTTTTAGTATCTGAATTCATTAGTTAATTTAATCTAGATCACAATGGGAAACGTGGAAGCACAGGACGGCCGTTTCGTCCTAGTATGGGCAGTGCGTATCCACAATCCCGCTCTCAGAATTCAATACTGACTCATGCTGTTGAGAACAAAAGGCAGTGAACAACTTTTCCATCAAATTACGAGCTTTTCATTAGTTTGCACCTACATCTCCCCACTCAGTGGTTATTTAATGAAAGTTAATAAGTGACGTAAATGCTAAGCTTGAATAAACCTTTCATTCCATATCGGTAACTAGTGCTGACCAGAGGTTCATATGTTATATTAAGAAGCAGTGTGTTGAACATCAATATTTTCAGGGGAGAAATATATTACCCATAAAAATGAATAAAGGTTGTACAATATTAAAAATTGGTTGAAACTAGTAATGTGAACTGTCAGTTTTTAACTTAGTAGTTTAAAGATACTGCGCTTAACAGCAGACCAGGAGATTGTCGGTTCAATCTCTGCTCGGTCACCAGTGTACTCAGCTGACAATTCTTAAACCGAAAAGAAATCGCCATCTAGTTGTTTTCTAGACAAAGTGGGTTTACTTATAATTTTTTATTCATTAAAAATCTGGCATGATTCTCTCTGAGCGTCAGTTATTTTATTTAAATAAACTAACCTTATTAAAGTCATTCGACTAAATAGAAAAATGTCATGATCTAGTAATAATGCTTAATGTACCTTCACCGTATAGTCTTCTGTTTTAACTCAGATAAGAGCAGTTTTATTGCAATAAAATCTCGATATTTTGATTGAACCTGACGCGCGCTTTTCGAACGGGAAGTTTAGTCCTAACGTGATTTGCATATATCAAACTTTTGCTGTGTTCTTACGCAACAAAAGTACCATTTCAGTTCTAAAGAATCTATCCTGAGCTATACGTTCGGTAGATTACTATTTCTGAGTTTCATCATATTTAATAGTTACCTGTGGTTTTGCCTCAGCTTACTTTTCGTTTTTTTTGTTTTTCACGTGTAGACTAGTTTCAGTTTATATCACTCGTTTTTACCTTTTTTTGTCCGTTTTCAGTGTGCTTTTTAGTGTTTTTTTAAAGGTCTTAGGCTTTTGCAAGCATCTATAACATAGTTTGCTTCAACACAGTCATGAAAAACTCATGCAAACGTCCGGGATGCCGTTTTGCTGTTACAGCTGGCATGCAGTGCGACAACTGCAAAGGTTGGTTCCACGAAGCATGCACAGATCTGACAGCAACTGCTTACAACAGACTCAGCAAGTCAGAGCAAAAGTGGGTGTGTGTCACGTGCAGCACGGACGCTGTAGTCTTGCTGAGTAACATCATTGTCCTACTGACAGGTCTTCGGAACAAGTTGTCAGTTAACTTGGATAACGATAGTAAAAAAACCGGTAGACAAACAAGAGCGTGCGACGGACACAAAAATAGGGATGCCGATAGGTATACCACCGATGGAGCATCCGTCAACACTAATGATGACGTGTCGAGGCTCAGCACCATCATTGCGTCGACGGTACTAGACTCCTTGAGCAAATTCGGGTCTCCCAGCTTAGGGTCCCTGAACACAACAGTGGTTCCCAAAAACCCTGTAGGTGATTCGACCCACGTTAAGAGAGCCCAAAAGAACCAGGCATCACTGCCTAAACTGAGCAACCCAAGTGTTGCTGTACGGAAAATAGCTGTTGATTTGGTCGCACAGTCTACCCCCAAGACTGTTCGTCCGGTCAACAAAGAGCCCAAGACTCAAAAACGCCCACTGACCTCCAAGCAAGAAGTTATTAAACCTGAACCCATCGTGAAATCTGGTAAATTAACAACAGTTCGTGACGATTCTCTCATTATCATGAACCTCATTGACAATCCTGATCTTCCCCTCAGTCTGCAGGACAAAAACGACAGGATGCTCTGGGGTGAATTGAACAAGAAGCTCGAACTTCCTAGAATAGAGCCTTTGACGGTCACCCGGCTCACTCGAGGAAAGGATTCTAAGCATCTAAATCACCCGAGGCTTCTCCGAGTAACACTTAAGAATAATGCCGACGTTGAGGACGTCTTGCCAGCAAGTCACTTGTTGAAATCAGATGGTAACGTAAAAATATTGCCCGACATACCGTACTCTGAGCGCAATATCATACGGAACATCCCCAAAGAAACTCGCGATCAGTTTTTCAGCGGAAGAAACATAATTGCCCAAGGTATACCGGAAAATGCAGACCCTACTCAATCAAATTCTGACATCAGGTAATGGAAATTCATCAAACAGTCCTTGAGGCTCAAACACATACTGACTCAGCATGTGACGAGACTAGCCAAGAAGGACGGTGATCCTAGACCTCGTCTAATGAAGATAACCAAGTTCACAACCTCGAGTTTAACAATCTTGAGGAATCCATATGGTGCTCTGTAAGATTGTCCAGTACTTCGAGGTGTCTAGTCGGAGTCATTTACAGGAAGCCTACTGCCGACATCGATTACGATAGTCGTATGCTGAAAGGACTATCCCGCTCCACCCGTCTCGGTCACACACACATCCTGATTCTAGGGGACTTTAATCTCCCTAGAGTCAACTTCGCGGAACACATGTACACTGGAGGCGACAACTCAATTGAAGCTCGGTTCTTCAACCTCATCGATGACTTGGGCTTATATGAAAATGTGAGGTCGGTAACTCGTTGGATAAACAGTCAGGCACCATCGCGCTTAGACTGTGTATTCACAAACGAAGAATTCCTAGCTGACAACCTCTCAATCCTAGCTCCTCTGGGAAAGAGCGATCATGCCGTTATAGCCTTCAGTTTTGTCATCAAAATTAAGCTGAGGTATCCCAACAATAATTTGCGTTGGAATTTTAAACGGCTGAATGTGCCAGCTCTACATGACTATCTACAACAGGTGGTTTGGGATGTTCACCCTCAACTCGATGTGGATGGTCATTGGGACTTCTTACTGCACACGCTCCTATGTGCTACAAACCACTCAGTTCCTCAAACGGTTCCCAAAAGCTGCAAGCCACCTACAGTAATCAAGAACCGTACCCTTCGCCTGCTAAGCCGCAAAAGGCACTGTTGGGCAGAATACAAACGAACTGATAACGACGGAGCGTATAGGCAATGTAAACATATAAGGAACATATGCACGAAGGCTATAAGAGAAGACAGGCTTCAGTACCAGACAAAGCTTATGGATAAATTTGCCTCTAACCCTAGAAGCCTATTCCGCTATGCAGCCTCTCTTCGTCAAGCCAAAACTGGAGTTTCCCAACTGCTAGGTCTCAACGGCCCGACTAACAACGATGGCGATGCCGCTGACCTTCTGGCGACACATTACTCTCAAACATTTCAACCGGCTGACATCAACTTTACTGACGACAGTTTCATCTGCAATTCCACAGGACTTTCCGAAGTAGACCTAAGCGCTGACTTGGTGTTCCGGAAATTGCAGCACTTAAGATTAGATACTTCTCCTGGCCCGGATATGGTTCATCCTGCCATACTGAGGGAGGCAGCCTCAACCCTGGCTACACCGCTTAGCGTGATGTTTTCACACTCGCTAAGCCAAGGCAAATTACCGGAAAATTGGAAGTTGGCTCACACCACACCAATTTTCAAAGGAGGTCGACGCAATGAACTTTCAAGTTATCGGCCGGTGGCTCTTCTGTCATTACCTTCAAAACTCATGGAGTCCCTGATATGCGACGGTTTAAACGACTATCTACTGTCCTTAAATTTCTTCTCACCCCAACAGCATGGTTTCAGGAAGGGTTACTCTTGTATAACCAACCTGCTGACTGCGGTTGACAGATGGACAAGCATCCTCGATCGCAAGGGAAAGGTTGATATCATTTACCTTGATTTCTCAAAAGCTTTTGATAAGGTTAACCACTTGTGTTTTACGAATAAGCTCAAACGACTAGGTATCAAACCACCTCTAATCGATTGGTTTACTTCATACCTAAAAAATCGACACTTTAAGGTTAGGGTTAATTTCACTTTATCTCAAGCTATGGAATGTCCTAGTGGG